TCTGAAACTTGTAGATATTCTACATCATGACAAATAGAATTAACATTCTGACGTATCTAGGACTCAGCATGGTACTACATGGTTGAATTCTGGCCCTTGGGAAGTTGAGACTGGGGGATCTTGAGTTCAAGTTAGCTTGGACTTCCTAGAGAGATCTTATCTCCAAAATAAAATAAAAAGCCAGGCATGGTGGGGCGAACCTTTAATCCCAGCACTCAGGAGGCAGAGGCAAGTGGTTCTCTGAGTTTGAGGCCAGCCTGGGCTACATTGTGAACTCCAGGATAGCCAGGGCTACATAGAAAAACCCTGTCTCAAAAAAAACAAACAAACAAATGGAATGAGGACTCATAATTTTTAGTAGTGCAAATAATATTGAGATTATTGTTATTATGTTTTCAGATTATTATTATTATGTGTACAAGCATTATGTGTATTATTATGTGTAGTATTATTATTATGTATTGCCTGCATGTATATCTGTGCACCACATGTGTGCTGATGCTGGAGGAGGTCTCAAGAGGGCATCAGATCCCCGGAACTGGAGCTGCCATGTGGGTGTGACAATGTGCCTTGTAAATTCATACAACTACCATGTGTTAGCTAAAATATATTTTAGGCAGTTGTGGTGGCTTACACTTTTAATCCTTGCATTGGGGAGGAAGAGGCCGATGGTGTTCTACGTCTGTTAGTTCAAGTCCAGTTTGGTCTTCACAAGCTAGTTCCAGGCCAGCCAGGGCTGCATAGTGAGATGCTGCCTCAAATATATATATAATTTTAAAGGTGGAGTGCAGGGCATTTACCCACCAACCCCACAGCTCCCCAGAGTTTTCTTGAGTGTGAGCAGCAGGAAATATTAGACAGAAGGATTTAGATTGTTGTGGAGATAAACAGGTAGAAAATAAAGGATAGCCTCGAGAGGGCCTGAAACCTATTCCAATGGGCCCTGACTGTCTCTGCCCTAAGGCATTTATAGAAATGCCAAGGGGTGGAGCAAAAGACCTCCCACCCAGCACAGCCAAGTGCAGACCATCCCAGACACCTGCACTCAGGCCCGTGGTCCAATCATCCTCTCTACGCAGACCTGCTGGGTAAAGCCACGAGGAACCTGAAAACAGGCTCTCACAGTGGAGGACTGAAGAGATGGCTTAGCAGTTAAGAGCATGTACTGCTCTTGTAGAGGATCTGAGTTCAGTCACTAGTCCCCTCATTTAGTCTCCGAAGTTACACACATACACATATGTATACACACACATACACATATATATACACACACAGACACATACACATATGTATACACACAGAGATGACACATACACATAAATTTTAAAAAAATAGGGTTTTTTGTTGGGTTTTTTGTTTGTTTGTTTGTTTGTTTGTTTGTTTTTCAAGAGAGGGTTTCTCTGTGTATACCTGGCTGTCATAGAATTCTCTCTGTAGATCGGGTTAGCCTGAAACTCACAAAGATTCACATGCCTCTGCCTCCTGAGTGCTGGGATAAAGGTGTGCACCACCACCTCAAATTTAAAAAAAAAAAATCTTTAAACGAAAAGAAAAGGAAAAAAACCCTTAAGAAACCACAGAGGATGCCGGGCGGTGGTGGCGCACGCCTTTAATCCCAGCACTCGGGAGGCAGAGCCAGGCGGATCTCTGTGAGTTCGAGGCCAGCCTGGGCTACCAAGTGAGTTCCAGGAGAGGCGCAAAGCTACACAGAGAAACCCTGTCTCAAAAAAACCAAAAAAAAAAAAAAAAAAAAAAAAAGAAACCACAGAGGAGCCGGACAGTGGTGGCGCACTTGGGAGGCAGAGGCAGGCGGATCTCTGTGAGTTCGAGGACAGCCTAGTTGAGGCCAGCCTAGTCTACAGAGTAGTTTCAGGATAGCCAGGGCTACACAGAGAAACCTTGTCTTGAAAAAAGCAAAACAAAAACAAACAAACAAAAAGAATGAGGACTGATAATTTTTAGCAGTGCAAATAGTATTGTGATTATTATTATTATTATTATTATTATTATTATTATTATTATTTTATGTGTATGGATGTGTTGCCTGCATGTATGTCTGTGCACCACATGTGTGCTTGGTGCTGGAGGAGGTCTGAAGGCGTCATCAGATCCCCTGGAATCTGGAGCTGCCATGTGGGTGCTGTGAATCAAATCCAGGTCCTCTGGAAGAGCAGCAAGTACCTTAACCATTGAGCAGTCTTTCCAGTTCCCCATGGTTAGTTTTCTTGTTGTTGTTGTTTTGTTTTGCTTTGCTTTGCTTTGAGACAGGGTTTCTCTTTGTAACAGCCCTAGCTATCCTGGAACTTGCTTTGTAGACCAGCATGGCCTTGAACTCATAGAGATCCTCCTGAATGCTGGTATTAAGGGCATGCACCACCACTGCCTGGTGCTGTGGGTTTTTTTTTTTTTTTTTTTTGGTTTTTTGAGACAGGGTTTCTCTGTGTAGTTTGGTACCTGTCCTGGATCTTGCTCTGTAGACCAGGCTGGCCTGGAACTCACAGAGATCCTCCTGCCTCTGCCTCCTGAATGCTGGGACTAAAGGCATGCGCCACTGCCGCCCGGCTGTGGTTGTTTTTTTTTTTTTTTTTTTAAACACATTTTGTCTATAGAGATAGATAATGGCATTCAGATAAAATGTTTATTTATTTGCTGGACATGATGGCACACATCTGCTGCCTGTAATTCCAGGACTTGGGAGACTGAAGCAGGAGAAAAGAAAGTCTGAGGCCAGCCTAAGTGACATGGTGAATGCCAGATCAGCCCAAGATGTAATGAGACCCTGTCTCAAAAACAAATATAAACCAAAACAAAATAAAAGCCAATTTTCTGGGAGCTGGAGAGATGACTCAGTGGCTAAGGATGAGTACTGTTCTTTTAGAGGGCTTGAATCCGATTCCCAGCATGCATGTCAGCTGGTAAAAATAGCTGCCTGTAACTCAGCTCCAGGGGATCTGATACCTCTGGCCTCACATGCACATAACCATACACACACACATGCATCAACACATAATTAAAAACAATAATATGCATCTACACATAATTAAGAATGATAAAGTAAATCTTTAAAAAAAGTGCTTTAGGATAATTTGGGAGGAGAAAAAGGAAGTTGTGCTTGAGCTGTTCATTGCTGAAGCTGGGTGATGGCGGGCGGTGTGTGTTCATATTCTGTTCTCTTTTTTGCACATCTGTCATTTTCTGTAATAAAAAATGTAAGACAAAACTCAAATCTGGGGATGGAGAGGTAGCTCAGCAGATAAGAACGTTTACTGCTATTGCAGCGGACCCAGGACCGTCGTTCCCATCACCCACATGGCAGCTCACAACTGTCTGTAATTTCACTTGGGGATAGGAGGTGGCAGGAATCTGTACTCTCTTCTGGTTTCCACAGGAACTGTATGCATATGGTGCACATACATACCTACATGCAGAGAAAATACTCATATGCATAAAATAATTTTCTTAATTAAAAATAACCTCAAATCTGAAATGAGGAAAAATGCTAAAATGTGGCACTATTCTTTTATCTTTTCTATAGATTTGATCTTTTTTAAATAGAAGGACAGGGCAAAAATCATCCCTCTACATCGAGAGACCTTTTCTCAACACCCCCAAACCTTTTCCTTGTCTTTAATTTATCTGTTCTAGAGGGAGGCCCCACAGCCTAGCACTTGAGGTCCCCAGGGCCCATTCTGAGCAGTCTTTTGGGGCTGGGATAAATTTTCTGGCCACACGCCACCAGTTAGAGCATCCCCTCCATCAAGGACAGAGGGGGACTGAAATCCAGAGACATCTGGACAGTGTCCGAACATCACGTGAACACGTGGAACTGCAAACATCTGCATCTGGGCTCCCATCATAGGTCAGTCTAACATCACCTAGATTTGAGTTTCACTTTCCATCCTCCTCCTCCCTTTTCTCCTTCTGTTCACCCAGCAGAATAAAACAGCAGCAGGAGAACCAGGGCAATGAAAGAACTCAGCGTGGAATACTGCCATGCTCACAAGTTTTGGCCGGGGTGAACTTCTGAGCTTCGGGGGGGTGGGGGTGGGGACGGGACAATGGGTGGCTCCAGGGTATCCCCGGATCTTGCAGGGTGGTCAGGGGGTACCCACACTTGACTTCGGAGGGAAGCTGGGGTGGAAGATCACATGAGCCCATGTGTTGGAGACCAACCTGGGCCACATAGCTAGGCTTGGTCTCAAAAGAAAACAAAACGCCAACCAAACAACAACAATAAACAAAGGAGGGAAAAAACCCAATTTTTTGTTGTTTGTTTCTTTTGAGTATGAAATGACAGGGAAATAGGCTCAAAGTGGAGCGCAGTGGGCCTAGTCACAGAATTGTAAAATTGTGACCGTGATCTGTCGATGAAAGGCCGCTGAGAAGTGGCGGGGTGGATAGGGTAGGTGGCACAGTTAACGGTGGGAATATGACACTTCAGTCAGTCTCCCTAAAGAGTGACAAGGAGCCAGCCCGCTGAGGGAGGATTGGAAGAGCTGTTCCATGCAGAACGGAATAGCAGTTTCTCAGACCCTTAGGCAGCCCAGAGGATGGCTCATGTTGCTGGAGGAATTTTTACAACATTAATTTTATTGATTTTGTTTAGCTTTGATTTATTTTTCTTCCTTCTGGTTAAGAAGTATTTCCTCCCTTACTGCCAGACTGGATTCCAGAATGCCAGCCTCAGGCTGCTGCGACCAGCAGAGCGCACTGGCCGGAACATTGGTACCTTCTGCCCTGACATCTGGCATCGTCCAGCTTTCTCTGTGGTTTTTGTTTGTGTGTTTTTTTTGCTTTCGGGTTTTGGCCAATCTAAGTTGTGTAATCGATATCTCACTGTCCTTGTAACCTGATTTTTTTTTTTTTTTTCTGATCGTGAACACATCTCATCACTCTTGTCTTACGTCTGCAGGCTTGGTGGGGTAGTGGGGTCTGAAGAGGCCAGAGTGCAAGGGCCCGTGGAGACATCAAGGCTAGGAGGGTCCCAGGGGAGCGGCATGCGGGGGACCTAGGGCAGCTTGAAGGCACAGAGAGGAAGTGGGAGCTGGAGGCGGGATATGGATGTGCGGATCAGACTCACAGCTGGGCAGACAGCGAGCAGGGTCTACAGAGAGACGCGGAACCTCTGCCGCCCACTCCCCCATTCTGCGCGCTCCCGGCTCCTCCGTGCACTCCTCGCCCGGCGGCCACGCGCCCTGTACGTCCTGCACCCCCGGAGCAGCGGGATGGAGGAGGAGCTGGCTTGGGAGACCTATGGCTGTGAGTCCCGGTGCGAGGGCAGGTGGACACGGTGGGGGCCCGAGGCCGGTGGGGAGACGCCGCGTTCACAGAGGGCTACCCAGGGAGAAGCTGGCCCTTCACAAGGCCACCTCTGTCTCAGGCTTCTCTGTGGCTCTGTGAGGAACGTTGCACAGGCGTAGGGCACAGTGGCTGCACATCTGGGACTCAGGGTATCCCGGGCGGGGCAAGCCAGGGGTGACAGCGATCCTTGTTAATAACGCGCTTTGTGTGTCAGGCTTTGAGGCAGGTCAGGCCGGTAGAAGACTGTAGACGACCATGTGGGTAGGGCCTACTGTCATCTCCATTTTTCAGATGAGAAAGCTGAGGGACAGGATGAGGTCACATGACTGTATAGCGATAGAAATGCTGACATTAAGGATTGGGGCGCAGTTCAGCAGGTAGAATGTTTGTTTAATATGTACAAGGCCTTGGGTTCCACTTCACACGCCAGGTAAAACCACGCACGGTGGCACACATCTGTAATCCTAGTACTGGAGAGGTAGAGGCAAGAGGATCAGGAATTCAACATCATCTTCCATCCTTGGCTACATAGGGAGTCCAAGGCCAGCCTGGGCTACATGAGACCCTGTCAACTACCACTACCACTACCACCACCACCACCACCACCAGTTCGCCCAGAATAAAATGGGGTTGTAGACACCATATTAAAGGAGGAACCGGGACCTAGAAAAAAGGTGCTATGGTCAGCTCCATCCCTGAGTAAAATAAGGAACTTCAGAACCTCTTTCAGAATGTACCCAGAGCCAGGCTCCCTAGATGTGTGGAAGGTGTGCATGTGGTCATCAGCTCTCCTGGGAGCCCTTTGGTGCTCTGCCTAGGAGAGGAAAGAGGACCTGCCTTTGCCTCCTCCGAGAATTCTTAGCCCTGTTGCCCAGGCTGAGCCCTGACCACTGAACCCAGGAGTGCATTCTCAAATCGCCATAGTCCTGCCCACTGGACTTCAAAATGCTGAAGCCAGCTGTCGTGGTCTGCCCAGATGAATGAAAAATGGGCACTGGGCTCCATTAAGCATGAGTGTTGCTTTTAAGACTTTTATTTTTTAATTAATTAACCCCCCCAAAAAAACAGGGTTTCTCTATGTAGCTTTGGATCCTGTCCTGGAACTCACTCTGTAGACCAGGCTGGCCTTTAACTCACAGAGATCTACCTGCCTCTCCCTCCTGAGTGTTGGCATTAAAGGTGTGAGCCACCACTACCCAGCTTAATTAATTAATTTTTTGAGACAGATTCTCACTGTGTATTTCTGGCTGTCCTGGAACTCACCATGTAGACCAGGCTCATTTGCCTACCTCTGCCTCTGAGTGCTGGGATTCAAGGCAAGTGCCTTACTTCATTATTTTTGTTTGTGTGTGTGTGTGTGTGTGTGTGTGTGCTTGTGTGTACCTAAAGATGAAGCCAGAAGAGGGCAGCAAATTCCCAGGACCTGGAGTTATAGGCAGTTGCCAGCCACCAGATGTGGGTGCTGAAACCAAACTCAAGGCCTCTGTAAGAGCGACAACTGGACTAAAGCATTGAGCCATATCTCCACTGGATCTCCTCACTCCCACCTTTTCATGAGATAGGGTCTCATGTAGCCCAGACTGGATTTCAGCTCGCTAAGTCAGCTTGAATGCCTGACCCTCCTTTATCTCCTAAGTGCTAGAATTACTGGTGTGTGCCACGGCACCCAGCAGTGTGCTGCTTATTCTGAGGGGTCACGGCATTCTGCTGGGGTCAAGGGATCATTAGGACTCTTCACAGCCAAAGGGAGAGTCTTGGAGTGTTGAGGGTGTGTGAGAGGGATTCAGGGCAGAGAACCCAATGCTGATCAACGCTCAGCTGCCAGAGAGCCTGGTGCGCATTGCTGAGGCTGGAAACGTGTGGGGCGAAGTGATGGAACAGATAAGATTTCCATTCTAACTTTGTCACTCCGGTGCATGCTTTCCCGCTAAGACACTGGCCATCTGTCCCCGGATGCACAAAGGGCTAGGCTCACGCGTGAAGTTGTCAGAGTACAACTTTCAGGAGTCCAGTCTCTCCTTCCACCTTGTTTCTGATGCAGCATCTCTCTTGCCGTTTCTGCCAAACTGTGGTGAATACTCCAAACTAGCTGACCTGCCAGCTTCTGGGCAAGTCTCCGGTTTCTTCCCCCATCGAATGCCAACATTGCAGAAGTACTCCAGTGCGTCTGGTTCCTCACATGGGCTCTGGGAACCGAACTCATGGCATCAGGCTTGTGTGGCAAGCATCTTCACTTACTGAGCCGTCTTGAGCTTTCTTTTACATTTACTTATTGTGTGTGTGGTGTGTATGTGTGTGTGTGGTGTGTGTGTGCATGGTGTGTGTGTGGTTTGTGTGTATGTGTGTATGGTGTGTGTGTGTTGTGTGTGTGTTTGTGGTGTGTGTGGTATGTGTGTGGTGTGTGTATGTGTGTGGTGTGTATGTGTGTGTGTGGTGTGTGTATATGTGTGTGTATGGTGTGTGTGTGTGGTGTGTGTGTGTGGTATGTGTGTTTGTGGTATGTGTGGTGTGTGTGTGTGTGATTTGTGTGTGATATGTGTGTGTGTGGTGTGTGTGTATGTGTGGTGTGTGTTTGTGTGTGCGTGTGTGTGTGTGTGTGTGTGTGTGTGTGTGTGTGTGTGTGGTCAGAGGACAACTTTCCAGAGTCCGTTCTTTCCTTTCACTCTGTGGATCTTGGGGATTGAGCTCTGTTTGTCAGGCTTGGTGGCAAATGTCCTTACCAACTGAGCCCTCTCACAACCGTTTCCCCGTTTTTAGACTTTATTTTTGTTTTCTTCTGTGTGTGTGTGTGTGTACGCGCGTGCACCTGCAGAGGCTGGAAGAGAGCGTAGATCCCCTGAAGCTAGAGTGACAGGCAGTTGGAGCTGCCCAACATGGGTGCTGGGAACTGAACTCGGATCCTCTGAAGGAGCAGTGAGTGTTCTTTACCTGTTGACCCATCTTTTAATGTACTTTTTTTTTGTTTGTTTTTGTTTTTTGTTTTTTGTTTTTTTTTGGTTTTTCGAGACAGGGTTTCTCTGTGTAGCTTTGCGCCTTTCCTGGATCTCGCGCTGTAGACCAGGCTGGCCTCGAACTCACAAAGATCTGCCTGCCTCTGCCTCCCGAGTGCTGGGATTAAAGGTGTGCACCACTGCCGCCCGGCCTAACGTACATTTTTATTGATTTATTTTGTGTGTGTGTAAGTATGCTTGCACCAGGGTGCTCCTGTGGATGTCAGAGGACAACTTGCAGGAGAAAACTTCCTCCCTCCACTGTGTAGGTCCTGGGATCAGGCTCAGCAGCAAGTATCTTTACCCTCCAACCCATCTTGCCAGTCCTTTTTTTTTTTTTAATTGGGTTCTAGGGATCTGAATTCAGGTGATCACACTTGTCAGGTGAGCACTTTACCTAAGCCTTCTCCCCGTGCCCTGAAAGTGCTTTGAGAAAAGAGAGAGAATACAGAGAAGGGAGCCTTCCAACCAGGCAAAGCAGAATTAGCTCCAGATGTGGAGGTGAAAGGGTTAGAATTTAGGGGCAAGGAGCGAAGAGGTGGAAAAATGAGGAACAGGAAGGTCTAAAGGTGGGAGATCCCACCTCCGGCACACTAAGTCCTCACTGTCTCCTACACTGGGTAAAATCTTAGCCAAGGTGGTCACTGACTCCAGTGGCAATGAATTCCATCCTTCCCCAAGTGCATCCCTAAGAGTGTGGGGTCCCTTCCTCTCACCCCAAATCCCTCTTTCTCCCCAGTGCTTCCCCTGGAGAGACAGCTCCATGAGGCCTCACGCTGGAATCAGGTGGAGAGGATGAAGGGACTGTTTGAGAAGAGGGTTAACATCAGGGCTAGAAACCATGTAAGTATGAGTTCCATATGGTGTTGTCACCCCATGGGACAAGTCACTAGGCCAGAGGAGGTGTGTTGTGTTTGTGTGCTTTGACTTGAGGATGGAGTTAGGAGGAGAGGCCTTCTGCTCTGTCTTCATTTCTGGAGCTGGCCTAAAGATTCCAAGTCAGGCTTTGGCAAGTCCAGAGCTCAGACTTTGAACCGGTGTGGCCCATCTGGAAGGCCCATCTAAGAGACAGAGGTGGGGAGGTGCACGTGGCAGGATTCTGGGGACCACGAGGGACCAGATTCCAGACACTGGGAGCGTATGTGAGGCAGCAGTTGAATTCAACTCTCTTAACACCCTCTGTCCCCATTTGTGTGAAAAGCTGCAGGAGGCACAGGCCCGTTCTAGGAGTCTACTAATCAGGCAGGGAAGAAGTAGGGTCCATGGCCCCGGAGGAACAGGACAGAGGAAGAAGTATGTCTTCTAAGTGGACATCGAAGACAGGCCAAGAGACCATGCAGGGTGGCCTAGTAGTATGACAGTGCTTTATCTGTTGTCCATCCATCCATCCATCCATCCATCCATCCATCCATCCACCCATCCACCCATCCACCCAACCATCCACTAGTTATATTTACATACGTACTCATTGATGTCTTCATTCATTAAGTGTATTCTCTCACGAACACTGGCTTATATGTTCATTCACTAAGAATTTATGAAGGGCATACTTTATGCTAGGTGGTGGGAACAGAACAGAACCCATGACAGCTGTGGTCCCAGACTTCATGGAGTCTGGTGGGGTGGGGGGCAAAGACAGCAAGCTAACTATCTCATTCCCACCGTGACAAACTGTCCCATAAGCACAGGGAGGGGTCCAAGGGGCTTTGTCCCATCTGGAGGTATCCCAGAAGGCTTCCATGGAGTGAGGCGAAGGGCAGTGTTTCAGGTAGAGGGAATGGTGTGGCTGAAGCCCTGAGAAGAGAGAGCTGGCGTCCGAAGATTACACTGGAAAGTAGCGCTGCCCTTCGCTGCCTCTCATGAGCCGAGATGGTAGCGAAGTGGACGACACAGAGGGAGGCTGGTGGCCCAGCCTGCTCAGATGGACGGAGGGCCAGAAACCAGGATGAACTCCCAGGGTGGCAGAGAGCGAGCCAGACGGTCAGGCCCTTTCGACTCATTGTGAGGGAAAAACCAGACACTCTGTTTCCCTTGGGGACATTGAGAGCTGTCTTAGGCACATGTGGCTTCCGAGTAGGAAGGAAGATTTGGAGCTGGAAACCATCTGGCCCCTCCGAGAGGCAGTTGGGGGCAGTGCCAGGCCACACAGGGCCTTGTAGGTCCAGGCTCAGGCGTTTGCCCCAAGAGCAGTGGGGAGCTGTGAAGACTGGGACAGATGGGTCCGGTCAGTGTATCCTATGATATTGGTTTTGGCTGTACCCGATCAGGGAAAAGGGACCTCAGGAAGGGCTGGCTCTCCAGCCAGCTGGTCACCAGAGCCACCAACAGCCTTTCCTCCCTGCAGGACAGCTGTCTTGCTAGAGAGGGTGTTGGGGGCAGGCCAGGCAGCCGGGTAGAGTGACAAGTTTCCTCTCTTCCTGGCAGGTGGGCAGAGTGGCCCTGCACTGGGCTGCAGGTGCTGGACACGAGCAGGCTGTGCGGCTGCTCTTGGAGCATGGGGCTGCTGTAGACGACGTGGACTCGGTAGGGAGGTCTGTGTGTGTGTGTGTGTGTGTGTGTGTGTGTGTGTGTGTGTGTGTGTGTGTCTGCCTACCTTCCTGGCCCCCAGGGGCAAGGACATCCTCAGTCTGTCTGACCTGTGAACAAGTTGTCATTGGTGAGACTGTTGCCACTGACATGCAGATGCTTAGGTACAGACAGGCTGGGCCCAAGTCAGTCTTAGGGATTGGTGACATTGGATCCATTCCATTTTCCCTGGCATGGGAAGAAAGTGCTCTCTATTATCAATGGCCTTTCAGTTCTGGGGACATTTTTGGTCCTTCATGATACCATGTGATGAGGGAGATTGGTAAGCTATAGAACAAATAGTCACATGGATCAATGGTGGCCTGCTTAGTAAAGGGGCCAAGAAGAGGGTCTCCTGTGATAGGCCACGGGGCTCTGGCCTGGTCGGCACCTGAAAGGGCAACTTGCTAAGAAACTGTCCTGGAGCAGATTGGGCAAATCAGTAGATGGCACTCTACTTGAAAGGGAGGGGGCCCCAAAGATCTACAGAATTGCCTCCCCAGGTTTAGGAGAAGGGCTGAATCTGACATGCCATTTGATACAGATATACTTAAAAATGGATACTTAGGGCTAGAGGTGCGGCTCAGCTGTACAGTGACTGTCCAGCATGCATGAGGTCCTGGATTTTATCCTCAGCACTGGGAAAAAAAAAAAAGGAAGGAAGGAAGAAAAGAAGAAGGAACAAAGGAAGGAAATAAGGAAAGGGAGGAAGGAAGGAAGGAAAAAATAGAGAGAGAGAAGGTCTCAGGGAGCCCAAGCTGGCTTTGAACTCAAGGATGACCTTGAACTTCTGTTCCTGCTACCTCCACTCCCAGAATGCTCTAAAGTGTTGGGACTACAGGTGTGTACCATCATGCCCAGTTTATGAGGTGCTCTGGATTAAGCCAGGACCTCATATGTGCTAGGCAAACTCTTCCCCAGCTGAGTTACACACCTAGCCCCCAAACTAAATTTAAAATAAACAAACAAACAAATAAATAAAAACCCATTGGGTATTGTGTCGCACACCTTTAATCCCATGTTTAGAAGGCAGAGGCAGACAACCTCAGTGAGTTTAAAGCCAGCCTGGTCTACATAGTGCGTTCCAGACCAGCCAGGGCTGTATAGTGAGACCCTATCTCAAAATAAATAAATAAGTAAAGACAGGGGAGTTGACTTAGTGGGTAAAGGTGCTTACTATGCAGCCTGGTGGCCTGAATTCAATCACTCAATCCATGGAAGCCACAAAAAGGTAGATGGAAAAAGCCAAGTGCACGGTTCTCTTACAACCTCCACACGAGCTCCACCGCATGCTCGGGCAAGAAAAAGAAGCTGGACGTGGTGACGCACACCTTCGATTGCAGCGATTGGGAGGAGGAGGAGACAGGAGGATCAGGAGTTCAAAGTCATCTTTAGCTACATAGCTTGAGGCCAGCCTGGGCTACATGTGAACCTATCTCAAAACAACAACAACGACGACACTAAGCAAACCTGAGCTCTGTTCCCTCCAAACGTGTTCTTTTATTCTAAGTGGTCCCTTCTACTGAAGAAGCAAAGAGAGTAGATGGCAGCCGTTTCCACTTCCGGTTTCATCCAGCAAAAGAAAGTTTCCAATAGTGTATCCGCCTCTGTGTTAAAAACAGCAGAACTGGGGCTGCAGACACGGCTCAGTGGGTCAGAGGACTTGTTACACTTGCAGCGGGCCCAGGTTTGATTCTCAGAACCCACATGGTGGCTCACAACCATCTCTAACTCCAGTTCCAGGGGATTTGTCATCTTCTGGCCTCCTCTGGCACCAGACATACATGTGGTGCACTTACACACACACACAGGCAAAACCCCCATACATATAAACAAAACAAATATTTTAAAAAGCAAGCAAAACTTTTTTTTTTTTTTAAGTGCCTCCAGCGTGGGGTTCTCTGGACTGAGCAGCATCTATAGTTGAATGGTTTGGCTGTGTAGACACAGCCACTCCCCTGCCTCCTCCCTTTCTCCTCACCTCCCTTTCTCCTTTCCCCCAGTTTGGGATGAATGCACTTCTCCTGTCTGCCTGGTTTGGCCACTTGCAGATTGTGCAGATTCTGGTCAATGCTGGGGCCAAGGTCCACTGTGAGAGCAAGGTAAGGCCGCAGCTGGCAGCCCCTCGGCTTCCCCACTTCTCCCCTCCATTTCCTGCCTGCTTCTGCCTGGCTCTCTGGAACCTTGTACCCCCCCCCCCCCCCCCCCCCCCCCGCTGAGCTGAGCCCTTGGAAACCCTTCCTAGGATGGAGAAAGGGCAGGAATGTTTTCATCCGGTGACTGTCTCTCATCTGGCTGTTCCACCCCACCCCTGCTCTCGGGTGAAAATTCTCCAGCTGTCTGGTCAGCTGACTTCCATATTTACAGACAGGGCAGTTGGGAAGATGCGCCGAGGCAGGAGGTCTTTCTTAGACCTTCTGCCAAGCTCTGCCCTCCTCATCCTTAGGGTGGTGGATGGAAGGATCCAAACCCAGAGTACCAACTCTTAGACCTTGGGTGGATAACTTCATCACCCACACTGGTTTCCCATTTGGAAATGGTGTGTGTGTGTGTGTGTGTGTGTGTGTGTGTACAACTTGCAGAAGTTGGTTTTGCTCTTCCACTGTGTGGCATCTGGGGATCAAACCCAGATTGTCAGGATGCAGGTGGCCATTCCTACCGAGCCATCTACCCAAGCCCCAGTTTAGATGTCTAATCTCCAGATAGGCTCCACTTGGATCACCCCTCTTTTACAATCTTGGCAACAAAACACTCTCAAGTTTAGTGACCAGTGTAACTGACTTCAGTTAAAATAACTAGGCCTTACTGTTTTCCTCGATTTCCTCCCTCCCCTGCCCCTCTCTCCTTTCATCCTCTTGGTTGTCTAGACAGGGTCTTACTCTGTAACCCAGGCTCATCTGGAATCCACTGTGTAGCCCAGTGTGGCCTCAAGGGAATCCTCCTGCCTCAGCCTCTTAAGTGGATTATAGGTGTCAGTCAATGTACCTGGGATTCTTGTCTTTCCTCAGTTTGAGGCAGGGTCTCACGACATAGCCCTACCTGTCCTTGAACTTGTTATCTTCCTGCCTCAGCCTCCTCAAGGTCTTGCTGATATTGTTCATAGCTCCATGACTGGTTAGGCCATCCCTCTGGTTTTGCTCAGGCTAACCCATGAGGATATGCTTGGGCTGGCCGGACTGTAGGGTATCTGGAACCTCTGTAGGGACACTGGGATAATGTCCCCAGTTTCTCCAGTGGCTCATAGAAGCCAGCCTGGACATTCTATGTGGCTTCCTTGGGGGCAACAAAATAATAAGAATGGGCCTGGGGATGTAGCTTAGTTGGTAGACTACTTTCCTAGTATCCACAAGATCCTGGGTTTGATCCTCACCACTACATAAATTAAGCATGGTGGTCACTCTGGTGGTGGGGGTAGAAGGGTAAGAAGTTCAAAGTCATTCTTGGCTGCACAGCAAATTTGAGGCTAGCCTAGGCTGTTTATTGAGAAGGGTGTCTGCCGTATTGCCCAGGCTAGTCCTTAACTCCTAGTCTCAAGTGATCCTCCCCACTGAGCCTCTTGAGTAGCAAGGCGGACTACAGTCATGTGCCATACCTGGCTTTTTTTCTAAAGTACTTTTTAATTGGGTTAATTTCTCACTGATGAGCTTTTTGGAGTGTTTATATATATATATATATAATATATATATTATATATATATATATTATATATATATATATTTTTTTTTTTGGATACATTTTGACTTAAATTTCAAGCAACTGTTTATGTTCCTCTAATTACTTCAGCATGCGTATCATTAACTAGAGTTTACATACAGTGAGAGCCACAGACCTCAAATTTAGATGCACTGAGTTCTGACAGCTATTGAGATGTAGACCAGTGCTCTGCTGATTCTTAGGGTGCAACAATGGATGATGCACTAAAAAACAGTGCTCCAGGGGCCAGAGAGATGACTCCGGAAACTCGGAACTACCTGTAGCTTCAGATCCGGGAGAATCTGATGTCCTCTTCTGGCCTTTGAGGGAAGAAAGGGGGTAGTGGGAGGGCAGAGCATACACACATTACTTAAAAAAAATCTAGCCGGGCGGTGGTGGCGCACGCCTTTAATCCCAGCACTCGGGAGGCAGAGGCAGGCAGATCTCTGTGAGTTCGAGGCCAGCCTGGTCTCCAAAGCGAGTTCCAGGAAAGGCGCAAAGCTACACAGAGAAACCCTGTCTCGAAAAACCAAAAAAAATAAAAAAAAAAAAAATAAATAAAAATAAATAAAAATTAAAAAAATCTTTGCAGCCGGGCGGTGGTGGCGCACGCCTTTAATCCCAGCACTCGGGAGGCTCACTCTGTGAGTTCGAGGCTAGCCTGGGCTACAGAGTAAGTTCCAGGACAGCCAGGACTGTTTCACAGAGAAACTCTGTCTTGAAAAACCAAAAAAAAAAAAAGGCCAGGCAGTGGTGGCGCACGCCTTTAATCCCAGCACTCGGGAGGCAGAGCCAGGTGGATCTCTGTGAGTTCGAGGCCAGCCTGGGCTACCAAGTGAGTTCCAGGAAAGGTGCAAAGCTACACAGAGAAACCCTGCCTCGAAAAAAACCAAAAAAAAAAAAAAATCTTTGCTTTACACGGATGAATGTTTTGCCTTCATGAATGTATGTGTACCACACGCATGCCTGTTGGATCCCCTGGAACTGGGGTTATGCATGACTATGAACCACCCTGTGGGTGCTGGGAACCTGGGTCCTCTGCAAAAGCAACAAGTGCTCTTAACTGCTGAGCCATCTCTCCAACTCTAAAAATACTTTTTAAACAGAATAACAGTGCTCCAGGGACTCCAACCTTAATGGGGGAAGGGGTGAAAGTTCTGGGTCATTAGTCCCTTGCAAGTCTCCTTCATTTAAATGTCACTCAAGAGACCTTTCTCTTCCTACCTCCCCTTCCCTCTCAAAGGCCTCTTGACTCCAGATCCAGCATTGTACATCTGGCCTTTGTTCTCCCTGGGAGGTTAGGTCTTAGTGACAGTTGCTGACTTCATTTTTTAATTTATTTTTACGTGTGTGTGTGTGTGTGTGTGTGTGTGTGTGTGTGTGTGTTTGTGTATGAGTTTATTCACACCACATGCATCTAGGTATTCTAAGAGGCCAGAGGACATCATATCCCCTGGAGTTGGAGTTACAAGCATGTGTGAGCCATTTGATGTGGGTGCTGGGAATTGAACCTGGGTCCTCTGGAAGAGAAGCCTGCTTTTAACTGCTGAGTCTTTCCAGCCCTGTTACTGGCTTCTTTATTTGCAGCTGTATGAAGGAGGTCGGTGCCTAGAATTCTCTCGTCTGGCACCTTCTTCTTTTTTTTTTTTTTTTTTTTTTTTTGAGACAGGGTTTCTCTGTGTAGCTTTGCGCCTTTCCTGGAACTCACTCTGTAGACCAGGCTGGCCTCAAACTCACAGAGATCCGCCTGCGTCTGCCTCCCGAGTGCTGGGATTAAAGGCATGCGCCACCACCCGGCATCTAGAATTCTCATACAATTGCTCCGTGGGATGTTCTTGGGATTGCAAGGGCTGTTACCTTACAGTTTGAAATCACTTTTCTGTTTATAAAATGTTTCCTAGCTGAGCATGGTGGTGCAAACCTTCAATCCCAACACTTGGGAGGCAGAGGCAGAAGGATCTCTATGAGTTCGAGCCCACCTGTCTACATAGCAAGTTCCAAGCCAGCTAGAGACACAGAAATACTTTTCTTGTGCTCTGACTTGCGCTGAGGCGGTCTATGCATAAATGCAGACTCAGGGAGGTGAAGACAACTGGCCCCGAGCCAGAGTTGAGGAGCGTGGAGCCAGGCTTTTGGCTTCTGGCATCCTGGTTGCTGGCTGCCTCCCTGGGTCATGTGTGGGCTCTCTTCATCGTTGACAGCACTGTTGGCACGGGAGCTGTGTGCCAAGAGACAGGTAGTGTATGAGAAAGGGGCCCTTCACAGACTCCGGGACCCGCTTGGGCTTGTTTCCAGGACGGCCTGACCTTACTGCACTGTGCAGCCCAGAAAGGCCACATGCCTGTGCTGGCCTTCGTCATGGAAGACCTGGAGGATGTGGCCTTAGACCATGCAGACAAGGTAAGACTCATGCAAAGCTATTCAATTCTCCCATTGGCTGGGGCTTAGCTGGGTGTACCCTGTTAGTGAGGACACTACTGGATATGTCTTATTGGCTCAGGCTTTACTAGGAATGCTGCACACCTGGAGGGCATTCTTTGATTATGGAGGAAAACTGTATTCTGCCTTGACTGTCCCTGGAGGGGACGTGACAGGTACACAGATGGGCAGGATGAAAACAGAACATGGTTGACTCTCCCTTCCATCAAGGACTAGACAGATTAGAAAAAAAGAGCCTGTTTTCTGCTTCCTGGAGTAGGGGGCAGTTAGGGAGGGAGAGATTTAGAGTAATTGGAAAGGGGTAGAAAGCATCTTTGGAACTTTGAAGGCAGGAAAGAGCAAGTGTGTGATTTCTGGGAGACTGGAATCATGAGAAGGGAAGTCAAAGGAGCCGGGGGTCCCCATGGAGATCTGTCTCCAACCTGAGGGTTCTCTCTTCATATGGCTGGCGGCCAAGAGGCACTGAAGGACTGGAGTAGAAGATCTCCTCCCAACAGAGGGGCTGTTGTTGGAACCTGGGGCTGAGTGGCAGGGAGAATGGGGTGGGAGAGGCTGCTACAAGTACAGAGAGGTGAGGAGCCCGGCCAGCGGGCGGGGAAGGTGTGCACCCTGACAGTATGAGGAGGCTTACTGTCTCTCCCCTTCTGGTCAGCTGGGAAGGACAGCATTTCACAGAGCTGCCGAGCACGGACAGCTGGATGCCCTGGACTTCCTCGTGGGCTCTGGCTGTGACCACAGTGTCAAAGACAAGGTACTGTGACAGAGAGGCACTCTACCGCCCCTGACCAGGCTGCAGAACTCCCTGTGCCCTCTTGGTCCGGGCACCTCCTAAAGCCTACTTTTTCTCTTTCAGATTTCTTTTATGTGCATGAATGTTTTTCCTGAATATATGTGTGCCGTGTGCAGGCTTGGTGACTTCAGAGGTCAGAAGAGGGTGTCAGAAGGTTGTGAGCCACCATGTGGGTGCTGGGAATTGAACCCAGGTCCTCTGGAAGAATAAGTGCTCTTAACCACTGAGCCATCTCTCCAGCCTCCTAGAGCCTACCTCTGACTCGAGTTCCGCTAGGGGGAAGACCCCCAAAGGCCTGAATGTGTCACGTGTCTGATGTTCTTCTAGTGGACACTTTAGTGCATGTGGGCCAGCTGGTGGATGTGAGATGTTCAAGATGAAATTTCTTTTCTTTTTCTCTCTCCCACCCACTTTCTTTCTTTAAGACAGTCTCATACAGTCCAGGCTGTATCAGAAAATGATCTGGGACTTGTCCACCTGCCCCATCTCCCAAGCACTGGGTTTATAGATAGCACTGCCATGCCTGGTTTATAGTCCTGGGGACTGAACCAAGGGCTTCCCGAATGCTAGGCAATCACTCTACAAACTGACGAACATCCCCAGCCCTTATCTTATTTTTAAAGAAACATACCTGCTTCGAATCATAAGGAGCAAGAGTGTGTGCAGGACCTGGGCCTTGAGAACGCCCCTGGTTGTAGCTTTTGGTAGTGACAGGCATGAAGCTGGTCAGACTTGGTTCTGTAACCCTGGACACGTCACTCTGGACCTTAACTGCCGTGTCTGTAAAATGAGGGGGCAGCTCTAACGGGGTTTCTGTGACATACTGAAACTTGAGGACTCTGTCCGCAAGCCCTTCAAGCAATCGTCTTCCTGCAGGGGGGGAACACGGCCCTGCACCTGGCTGCCAGCCAGGGCCATGTAGCCGTGCTGCAGAGACTAGTGGACATCGGGCTAGACCTGGAAGAGCAGAATGAGGTGAGTCAGCAGCTGGGGAGACAGACGGGGATGCTCGCTGGCTCTCTGTCTTTGAGGAGCCCCCAGCCTGTGGTCCAGTGGACTTTGTCTTGATGGAGACCTGGAGCAGGGCATGTTCTCCCACTGACACCCACCAACAGGAAGCGAACAGCAGCCCCAGGGACCTGGCTGAGCAGGGAGCCAGACAGGATTGTCAAGCCATGAGCTGGTGTGGTGGTGCGTGCCTTTAATCCCAGCACTCGGGAGGCAGAGGCAGGTGGATCTCTGTGAATTCGAGGCCAGCCTGGTCTGTAGAGCGAGTTCTAGGACAGCCAGGGCCACACAAAAAAACCCTGTCTCAAAAAACAAACACACAAACAAACAAACCATGAGAAGTTGCCATTTCCTGGGTGATCAGGGCGGCTTTCTGACATAGGAGGGACAAGATTAGTGAGGGTGAGGTGGGTTAAAAGGCAAGTAGGACATGGACAGAGGTGTTGATGAGGTCATCCTGTCATCTGCATTCCACACATGGGACCGTCAGTGCAGGCTCAGAAGCCACAGGTAGGCAAGCCCTTCGTCCTCACTAGTACGTGGTTGAGCGCTCAAGGGGCCAGAGTAGAGGTGTGTGCTCTTGGCTCCGGGTTTGGCTCCAGCTTCCCCACTCTCCAGTCCTTTCCCTGTGTGTTTCAGGAGGGCCTGACTGCTTTGCACGCAGCCGCTGAAGGAGGGATCCACGCTGACTGTGTGAGGCTTCTCCTCAGTGCCGGGAGCAACGTCAATGCCCTCACCCAGGTAGCTAGCCCTCCTGAGACTGACCGCTTCCCTAGCCCACTATGCCAATCAGACTCCTCAATGTTCCGTGAATAGAGGCTTTAAGACAGTCACCCTGGGCTCTGGTCTTGGTTTCTCCACGGTGTAGCTATGTGGCCTAGGACGGGTCATTGTCGTAAAGGCCCCAGAGGGCTCTTTATGAACTGCTTGGCCTGGGCAAATCACCGGCAGCTCCTGCCATCAGACTTGAGTGGGATGTGAATCTTGGTGCCCTGTCACATGAGAGATCCCTGGAACAGTGTCCTGGCGCCTGTTTCTCTCCAGAAAAAGCTGAGCTGCCTCCACTACGCAGCCCTTGGTGGCTCTGAGGATGTGTCCCGGGCACTCATCAAGGCAGGAGGGTGCACAAACGTGGCTGACAAGGTAAGTATTGGGCCTGGATCGAAAGGATCCACACTGCAGCCTCCCATAAATGTATTAAGCACAGGAGCAAGAACTAGACACACCCTTGTGGATGGGGTGAACCAGACTAAAGGAATAGTAGCATTTCATTTCGGATGGTTTGTTAGGAGCAGGCTTGAAACCAAGCTTGGCCATCCTTCCAGCTGAACTACCTGCACCTGGCAATCTTTAATTTTTGCAGACCCAGCCACTTACCACTTCGTTATATTCTGTCTTTCTGTCGTGTTTGGTGTGTGTGTGTGTGTGTGTGTGTGTGTGTGTGTGTGTGTGTGTGTGTACATGTATGGAGAGGCCAGAGGTCAGCATTAGCTGTCTTCCTCAGTCACTCCCCACCTTATTTTTTGAGTCAGCAGGGTCCTTCTGGCTTTGCTCCCCCAGCACTGGGGTCCCAGGTGTGCACTGCCACACCCGACTTTTTATGTGGGTGCTGGGGATCTGAACTCAGGTCTTCACGCTTGCATGGCAAACACTTTACCAACTGAGCCGTCTCTCCAGGCCAGGTGTTAACTCTTTTCCTATTAGAAGTCAGCAGGGTCTGTGTAATCCCCTGGTCAAGACAGATTTTGTGATCAGAAAGCCCAGATCCTTCTACCTTGGGAGTCTTCTCAGTTTTGCTAAATAAATCTGTTTGCTCTGGGAGTGGGGAGAGACAGAGACAGGGACAGGAAATGGAGAGAGACACACAGAGAGAGGCACACAGAGAGAAAGAGAGAAATAAAGTGTGTGTGTGGGAGGGGAGAGAACCTGGCCTTGAGTACTGGTACTACCTATCACTTGCAAACTGTTTGACCTTACTAAACCTGCTTTCATATATATGTACACATATATATGAATTATCATTATGTAAATAAGGAGATATATTTCAAAAATATGCACTTCTCTTTTAAATCTTTTAAATGTGCCATGTACATATACCCAAGGCTGGCATAGCAGGGCCTCTAACCTGGCACGAAGATACCACCCTCCTTATGGGTCAGTTTTAGGCCTCCAGTTCTAAGCACGTGGCTGTGCCTGCCTCAGGTCACCTGTATTGTTTGAGAGACTATAATCGCCGAGTTAACCCCACCCCACCTCCAATCTGCAGTCCTCGGAGGGGCTTACTGGTTGATCTCCATGTCTCTCCCATAGCAGGGCACTGCTCCTATACACCTTGCTGTGAGGCACAACTTCCCTGGTCTGGTCCAGCTCTTCATAGAAGCCCACAGTGATCTGGATGCCATGGACATTGTAAGCGACCGCAGAAACCATTCAGCCCCAGGGGTCTCCCAGCATGACCTAGAGTTGAGAAATGAATTCCCTTTTTTAGCTTTCTGAGGTTGTTGGTTTATTAAATTCATGTGTTTATGTGTGTATGTGCACGAGAGTGTCTGTGTGAGGATATGCTATGTGTGCCCCAGGAGGCCATAGGAGCATCAGATCTCCTGGAGCTGGAGCTCCAGGCGGCTGTGCGCTATCCGATGGGGGTGCTGAGAATTCTACTGGGATCTTCTGCAAGGACAGTGCCCGCTCTTAACCACCAAGCCATCTCTCCAGCCCCTATTTATATTATTGTATTTTTTGAGACAGCGTTTCTGGGTAATCCTGGCTGTCCTGGAACCCACTGTGTAGACAGGTTGGCCTTGAACTCACAGAGATCCTGAGTGCTGGGATTAAAGGCGTGCGCCACCACGCATGGCTCCCATATGCTTTCTGCGCGCTTTACCCTCCCCCTGTCTTCTCTCCAGAGGCAGCAGACTCCCCTCCACCTCGCTGCCGAGCATGCCTGGCAGGACGTAGCAGAGATGCTCCTCATTGCTGGAGTTGACTTAAGCCTGAGAGATAAGGTACCTCTGCTCTAAGCAGCCCCTCCTTCAAGTTTCCACTGTTCCCTCCCTCCTGTGTGGCTCTGAAGTCTGTCTCCAGGACACCCTCTGTCCTCTGGGGCCCCTCAGCTGTGGCCCAACCGTCTGTCTGTGCCCTGGTAGCCTTCTGTTTCATCCCTCCCCCACCAGATTGTCATGTGGTTAGCCGCAGGGGTAGCAGGACCAGCCAGCATCACACTGCCTAACACCTCCTTGTGCATGCAACAGAATTTGGGGGTAGCTCCCCAGTTTATTGTGCCTCAGGGTAGCTCCTTCCTTAGATGGCTGGAGGCCTCAGGAGAGCTGAAGGTGTAGGGTGAGGCCGGAGGAGCGGGCATTTGCATGTCACTCAGGGAGGTCAGTCAGAAAGGCGAAGGCCAGAATTGGGGGTCATATTCAGGCCAGACTTAGGAGGAACTCACTGCTTTGAGCTGAACCCAGGAAGCTGGCTGCAGGTAAAGAGCAGCTTCCCATTTCACTGCAGACCCCTGCAAGTGATTGCCGTGTGGGAGGCCTGGAGCACAGGGTCTGTCTGGTGCCTGGGGATTGGTAGAAAGATGTGGTAGGATGGCCCATGCCATCTCCATGCTCTGATTTCTTCATCTGAGAAATGAGAGTGGGGACATCATGTCATAGATGGGGTTGAAGAGTGAATGAAGGCCACATGATAATGTCTACACTGGTGGTTCTCAACCTGTGGGTCGTGACTCCATGAGGTTACCTACCATATCAGATATTTACTCTACAGTTCATAATAGTAGCAAAATTATAGTTTTGAAGTAGCAATGTATGGTTGATGGGGGGTCACCACACCCTGAGGAACTGTATTAAAGGGTCACAGCATTAGGAAGGTTGAGAACCACTCTTCTAGGCTTGTATATGTGTATGTTTGTGTGAGAGTATGTGCTCGTGTGTTTGGGTACCCGTGGAGGCCAGAAGAGAGTGTGTGTGTGTGTGTGTGTGTGTGTGTGTGTGTGTGTGTGTGTGTATGTGCAGGTCTTTGTTTACCACAAGTGGTGCCAGATTCCTTGGAGCTGGAGTTGCAGGTATTTGTGAACCACCGAATGTGGGTGCTGGCATCCAAACTGGTCCTCATGGTAGAGTGGCTAGTGTTCTTAACCTCTGAGCCATTTCTCCAGCCCAGCTCTAGGCACAGTTAGTCTGATGAAATCAGAGGTGGTTGCTGGAATAACAGTAAGTCTAGAGGCCGCCCTGCACCGCCCTGAAGGAACTCCAGCTCCTCTCTGCCTCTTCTTTACAGCAAGGAAAAACAGCCCTGGCAGTAGCCGCCCGCAGCAACCACGTCAGCCTGGTGGACATGATCATCAAAGCTGAGCGTTTTTACAGATGGGAGAAGGTACCAACTCCATTAATCCCTCCTTTTGCAAAGCCTTGGCTGTGCATGGAGCTGGCTTTGAAAGTCGTAGTCTCACCAATTCTGGGGACCCTATCTCTATGTGGGTGGTCATCTCTGCCTTGGGTACCACTAAGATTGTGAGGACCTGGAGATGGGCAAGCACCCAGACATATTGAAATGAGGCCGGCTCAGTTCTGTGCTGGTGAGATCCTGGCCAAGGAATGAATTGGTTTGAATATATAAACTTCACGGGTGATAAAGGAATGGGGTAAAAACAGAGAGGTCTCCGGCTGGAGGCTTTGTGGAGGAGGTGGCATAGTAGTGTTCTTTGACTATGGCAAAGGGTTAAAAGTCAGGGAGATGAGTTCTAGATGGAGGAATGCTGTGGTGTCCAGTGGTCATGGCAAGACACAGTCAGACAGGGTGGTGGACATGAAGCCACAGGCCCATGCTGATTCAGGTTCCCGGGCTCTATGGGCTGTATTTAAGATCATGAAGCAGGCCCCAGACGGCTCCTGCACTTTTGGGATCTGCCCTACAGGACCACCTTTCATGCAGGGACACCAGCAACCCTTCTAGAAAGAACCTGACCTTTAAGCAAGACCATCGGCAGGAAACACAGCAGCTCCGCTCTGTGCTATGGCGACTGGCTTCCCGGTGTCTGAGGCCCAATGAGTGGAAGAAACTGGCGTATTCCTGGGAGTTCACAGAGGCTCATGTCTGTGCCATTGAGCAACAGTGGACAGGTACCACCTTACCCTGCCCTACACCGGGTGGGTGGGGACATGTGAGATGCGTTCTGAGTTCTGTGCTGCTGGGGACAGAAGCTTGTGGAACCCACAACCCAGCCCCACTCGACTTCCAAAGCCCTCCTCCCGGCTCCTTGCACAGGCTGTGCATCCCTGTTCCACCTCCTTTGTGACCTTGAATTTTGCAGAATCAGCTGAAACCCATACCCACGGTTTATACACTCAGCTAACTCCATTCCCTGTGGAAAAAAGAGAGGCCACTGTTGACACTCCTATTTAATGCCCGTTTAGACATCTAGACCCTGGCACAAAGGCATGAAAGGGAAATAGACATATGGCATATCATGCTGGGGCAATGGCTTGGTGGCTAAGAGCACTCGGTGTGCAAATGTGAGGGCCTGAGATCAGATCCACATCGCTCAGGTAAAAGCTAGGCATGGCTCGGTGCACCTGTAACCTCAGTGCTGGGAGTGGTGGGCATGCAGATAGAGAAGGGTCATTAGCGCTCGTTAGCCAGCGACCTAGCCAAAACACGGCGGGGCTTCACCTTCAGTCAGACCCTGTCTCGAGGGAGTACGAGGAAACGTGATAGAGCAGGACGCTCGATGTCCCTCTTTGGCCCCCACATGCAAGGGCACAGGTGCACACACCGTATGCACATGCGTAGACACTAATGTACACCACCCACACACCTATACATCATAAACAGAGAGAGAGAGAGAGAGAGAGAGAGAGAGAGAGAGAGAGAGAGAGAGAGAACATTAATACTAGAAAGGAAAAGAGCCAATTCTTCATATGTTATAATCCCTATACATGAGGAAGTCCAGAAGGCTCAAATGAAAATCAGAATTGATAACTGAATGAAATGGCTAAATACAGGATAAAATATACAAACACAGCGCCGGGTGGTGGTGGCGCACGCCTTTAATCCCAGCACTCGGGAGGCAGAGCCAGGCAGATCTCTGTGAGTTCGAGGCCAGCCTGGGCTACCAGGTGAGTCCCAGGAAAGGCGCAAAGCTACACAGAGAAACCCTGTCTCGAAAAACCAAAAAAAAAAAAAAAATATATATATATATATATACAAACACTATGCATTGTCAATAGATGGGCCAAAAGTAGATAGAATTTTTAGAGATTTCTAATGAGCATCTAAGGCTGAGAACCATGAACCAGTACTGGGGGCAAAAACGTGGCCAGCTGCCCCTCACTAGGCTGTGTTTTCATCTGTATATTAGATCCAGCATGTGCCCGAGGCAGGGACTGTGGTCGTTAGAGATGAAGCATCCTAGTACCTTGAAGACATAAGTCATTTTTTTTAGAGTGGACAGGTAGATGCCTCAGAGAAAACCTGAGGCCGTGGAAGTTCTTCAGCCTGAGATACCAATCACAAACCCACTCCATCTGAAAAGCTGTACCCTAACCCTAACCTCCAACCCAGGCCTCCTATAGCAGAGAAAGGCCTCTTTCGTGCTGGGTGCATTTAGGATGCAGTAGAGGACAGCATATGCATGCTCTGGGAAGGTACCATGGTGGCCTTTACTCTCATCTGCAGGAACCAGGAGCTACCAGGAGCATGGTCACCGGATGCTGCTCATCTGGCTGCATGGTATGGCCACAGCTGGGAAGAACCCCAGCAAAGCACTGTTTGAGGGCCTCGTGGCCATCGGCAGGAGAGACTTGGCTGGTAAGTGAGTCATGGCTGGAATGCTTGGGCCCTTGAAGGACCGAGCAGGTGGCTGGTTCTGGCAAACTAAGGGCTCCTTACCCTGTCTTTGAGTAATATCACCAGTGAACCCTGTTTCCTTCATAACCACCAAAGTCACCAATGGCACTATAACTTTACCTCCCCAACTGTCTCTGCCTTCTAGTTTGGAATAATGCTGAAACAACCCTGAAATGAGCCGCAGACTGGCTTAAACATCAAGTTGAGCCTTCCGAGGCCAGCATAAGGTAGTTAACCATGCCACTCCCAAAAGCCTAATTTAAGATTCCCATAGTGGCTTGCGACTTTCAGACAAGCAGGATCAAAAGCTGTGGAGCTAATCCCTCATTAAAGGCAAATTGATGAAAAAGTCTTAAGCAATGGAGTGTCCATCAACGTGGGCAGCATGGGGCAGCTGCAGCGTGGGCTATAGGCAGTTCCTGGCAGCCATGAAGGCTACCTTAGCTGTGAGGCAACAGGGAAAATAGTTCTTGCATGGTGGCTGTCCTACAACTCCTCTAGGTCACCCGAGGAAGTGCAGTCATTTCAGGGTGCAGGGATTAGGGAATAGCTCCTTTTGTTTTCCAGTAACATTTTTTTTTTTTAAGATTTATTTATTTATTATGTATACAGTATTCTGCCTACATGTAGGCTTGCAGGCCAGAAGAGGGCACCAGATCTCATTACAGATGGTTGTGAGCCACCATGTGGTTGCTGGGAATTGAACTCAGGACCTCTGGAAGAACAGCCAGTGCTCTTAACCTCTGAGCCATCTCTCCAGCCCCCACATTTTTTTTTTGAGATATGGTCTCACGTAGCCTAGGCTAGCCCCAAACTCAATTTGTAGCTCAGGATGACTTTTAACATGTGATCCTCCTGCCTCGGCCTCACAGAGGCAGTGCTGAGATTAGAGGTGAGTGATAAACAACACACCCATTTTATATGTTGTTGGGGAGCGATCTTAGGGCTTGGTATATGCTAGACAAGTATTTCACCAGCTGAGACAGATCCTCAACCTCATTTTCCAAAATACTCTTTAAACAACAACAAAAATATCTGGCTTTTAATTCCAGCACTCAGGAGGCAGAGGCAGGAGACTTGCTACCAGTTCCAGAATAGCCTGGTCTACATAGCAAGTTTTAGGCCAGCTAAGGCTATGTAGTGAGACTCTGTCTCAAAATAATCTACATGTAAGTGCTTGGAAAATTTTTAAGTTTGTAAAATTACTTTTATTATTGGCCTCCTGTATTTACATAAGTAGTAAATAAGATGTTAACAGTTTTTGTTTTGTTTTTTGAGACAGTGTTTCTCTGTGTAACAGTCCTGGCTGTCCTAGATCTAGCTTCGTAGACCAGGCTGGCCTTGAACTCACAGAGATCCACCTGCCTCTGCCTCCCAAGTGCTGGGATTAAAGGTGTGTGCCACCACCACCCAACTCAGTTTTTTTTTTTTTAATTGTTATTTTTGTTGTTATTTTGGGGTTCTTTGCTTTTTTGAGACAGGGTCTCATTATGCAGTCTTGGCCACCTGGAGCTTGTTATGTAGACCAGGCTGGCCTCAAACTCACAAAGATCCACCTGCCTCTGCCTCCCAAGTGCTGGGATTAAAGGCGTGCGCCACCACCGCCCGGCTACATTTTTTTTTAGATATTTATTTTATCTGTATGTTTACGTGTTTGCATGTGCATCAGAAGGTGTCAGATCACCAGGAAGGGACAGCTGCGAGTCACCATTCAGGTTCTGGGAAGAGAACTCAGGACCTCTGGAAAAGCAATAAGTGCTCTTAACCACTGAGCCATCTCTCCAGCCCTCCCAAATGTTCTTAAGAACAGCAATTGTCTTCCATAGCACAAGCCTCACAGGAAATTAGGACATAAACCAACCCTGGGAGGCAGAGCTAACGCAACTCCAGCAACAGGAGTCTTGTGTTCCACAGAGAGCACCAGGAAGATGGTAAATGGCGAGCCCAGGGCCCCCAGGAGATGCACAGCCATGTAAGCTTGTGGGAACGCCTTGGGGCCACAGCATGGAAGATGTACAGCCATGTGAGCTTGGGGGAACGCCTCGGGGCCACAGCATGGAAGAAGATCTCCGTAAGGGCTTTCAGAGCCGTCCCTGCACACAGACCTCCGGCTGCATCTACTGAACCATAGACCCCAGAAGGAAACTAAAGTACTTTTTGGAGGATGGGAGATGTGTCTATCCTAGGTTTTCTGGTCATCCTATCCCAGGGGCGTGGCTCTTTGCACTCTCAGCTCACTCAGCTGTATTCCTGGGGGTGCATACGTGTGCACATGCCTCACATGGGTGTGGAGGAGGCCAGAGGACACTTGGTGGGTATTTGTCCCCGGGCACTGTCCATCTTGGGTTTTTTTTGTTGTTGTTGTTTTGAGACAGAGTCAGTCTCTCTATTCCTGGCAGTCCTAGAACAACCTTGTGTTTTTGAGACAGGACCTCTCACTGACCTAACTAGACTGACTGACCAGTGAGCCCAGTGACCCTCCTGTCTTGCCTCCCCAGTCCCGGGCTTACAAGTGTGTGCCACCATGTCCTGGTTTTTGTGTGGGTTCTGAGGGTCAAACTCGGGTCCTTATGTTGCAGGGCAAGTATACAGACTGAGCTGTCTCCCAGGCCTCTCAGCTCACTTCTCTTCCATTATCTTAGATCATCATGAAGCACCCCCTTGAGGTGCAAGGGGTGTCTTTACAGCTAGGGCACTGAGGTCCAGGGAGGAGAAACCTCTTGTCCAGGTCATACCACAAATCAAGTGATATCAAAACCAGCATTCCTCCGACCCCAGCCTGCAGGAAGGGCTTCATCACCTTCAAACTGGATTGTCCTTAAGTCATTAAGGATAACTCACTAATCTCTAGTGCCAAACAGACAGAAACTGCCATGCTGTTCCCATAGCTGTTTGTATTTATAAGTCCGTTTGTATATGTTGACAGTCCAGGAGGCATGCATTCTTCTTTTTCTTCCCTCTAACTGGATAATTGGATATGTAATTTTAAATGTTTTTTTTTATCTTGAAATCATTTCAGACTTATAAAAGTTGCAAAACAGTACTGAGAATGTTCTGCATGAAGCTTCTGTAAACGTTAACTCTTACACAACTCCAGTGTGTTTTTGTAAAATCAGGAAGTTAGAGGTTGGAGAGATGGCTCAGTGGTTGAGAGCCCTTGTTCTTGCAGAGGACCCTGGGTTCAGATCCCAGCACCCACATGGCAGCTCACAACTGTCTCTAACTCTGACTCCAGGTGATCTGACACCCTCTTCTGGCCTCCAGCATTACTGCCTGTATGTGGGGTGTGTGTGTGTGTGTGTGTGTGTGTGTGTGTGTGTGTGTGTGTGTGTGTATGTATGTGTGTATACATGCATGCACGATTCTATGTGTATGTGTGTTCAGGTACACACGCATACACATGAAATCTTCTTTTAAAAATTAAGAAACTAACAATGTTTACAAACTATTCACTAATCCCCGACCACATTCAAATTTTGTCAATGTTTTGTCATCTCCTGTATTAATATCTGGTCCGGGATCACAGATTACATTTAGACATTTTAATTGTCACTCTATTGTGTTTCTTTGGTGCTGGAGACTGAACGCAGGGTCTCACATGTGCTAAATGCATGCTATACTACTGAGTTAACACCCTCAGCATTTGTTTTTGTTTTAGATAGGGTCTCTCTGGGTAGCCCAAGCCAGCCTCAAACTTGAGAACCTCTCACCTCAGCCTCCCAAATACTGGGATTACAAGGTATGCACCACCAAACCTGCCCCTGCCACACATTTGCTTACTTATTGTGTGTGTCACACCTTTGGAGGTCAGAGGACAGCCTGCCAGAGTCAATTTTCTCCCTTGACCCTGTGGGTCCTGGCCTTGAACTCAGGTCATCAGTGTAGACAGAGTTTTCCTGTCCCACAGCCACTCTCAAATAAACACACTGAGACTTAATATTAATTACAATGCTCTGCCAATAGCTCAGGCTTGTTACTAACTAGCTCTTACAACTTAACCCACTTCTATTAATGTATGTGCTTCCCTGAGGCTTTTACATCTAACCCATTTTGTGTGTCTGACTCATTTTCCTTGTGGCTGGTGACCCTCTGACTCCGCCCTTCCTCATCCCATCATTCTCAGTTTGGCTTTCCTGCCTGACTTTATCCTGTTCAGCTATCGGCCAGTCAGCTTGTTTATTAAAGCAATCATAGCAACATATATTCCCACAGTGTACAGAAGGATTATTCCACAGCACATCATACTTGATGGCAAACACTTCACCCACTGAGCTATCTGGCTAGACCCCTATCTGCTCTCCAGTTTTTCTTTTTAGATTTAAAATTTTTATTTTATGTGTATGACTTGCATGCTTGTATGTATGCACACCACATCTGTACCTGGTGCCCCAGGAGGCCAGAAGAGGCATCAGATTCCCTGAAACTGGAGTTAACAGAGGTCATGATCCACACTGTGGATACTGGGAACTGAACCCAGATCCTCAACAAAGTATCCTTCACTGCTGCGCCATCTCCCAGCCTCTCACCTCCTCTTTAATAGTCCCATGAGAAGTAGAACGTGCTGCACCGGGAGGGATGTTTCATAGCTGCACATCCAGGATGGACCCACTTGCCATTGTGGCTGCTGAGCACTGTACAGTGGGTAAGGCTGAGGAACTGAATTTTCAACTTTATCCAGTTTTTCTTTTGTTGTTTTTATTTTTTTGAGACAGGGTTTCTCTGTGAAACAGTCCTGGTTATCCTGGAACTCGCTCTGTAGACCAGGCTGGCCTCACACTCTCAGAGATCTGCCTGCCTCTGACTCCTGAGTGCTGGGATTAAAGGCATGCACCACCACTGCCCAGCCTGTTTTAACTTTCAAAACGTGCAGGTGCATAAAGGAATGTGGCATTCTGGCAAAGGTTGAATGATGACTAAAGGTCAGTAGTCACTGGGGCTCAGGGTGAGGAGGAAGGATCAGTAGATGGCATCCAGAGTACTGTTGGGACGAGGAAGCTGTTCTTTCTGGTAATAGTGGATACATGATATTGAACAGTACTCAAAACCCACGAGACACACAACGCTGTCAGCCCTGATGCAAGCTGTGGACTTCAGTTAGTAATGTTTAGTACAAGCTGGTGATGTGGCTCAGTGGATGGAATGCTGACTTGGCATTCACGAAAGCTTTGGCGCCATCTCTGGCTTGAACCGGGTGTGGTGGTGTGCTCAGCAACATAGTGAGTTTGAAGCCAGATTGAGCTACAGGAGACTCTGTCTAAAAAAAAAAAAAAAGGAAGGCCAGGCAGTGGTTGTTATGAATTATTGCACAGAGGTGTGTGTGTGTGGCGGGGTGAGGCAAGGGTATCCCGTGCATGTATGGAAACAGGCTGGGCCGATGATGTAGCGGCTGGCTGGGCAGATGCACCACCATGTGGGCATGGTGGTGGCAGTGGTGGCCAGTAATTCACAACCCAGATGCTGCATCCATGTGGAGAGTTTATTAGAGAGACGAAGAGAAAGATAGGAGAGAGAGAGAGAGAGAGAGAGAGACAGAGACAGAGACAGAGACAGAGACAGAGACAGAGACAGAGGAAGGAAGGGGAGGAGTTTTTCCTCAGAATGAGGCCTTTACATCAGAATGCAAGGCCAGCACCAAGGGGGTGGGATTTCAAATGGGTGGGATTTCAAGGGGCTGATCAGAATATTAACAGTGGTGGTACATGCCTTTAATCCCAGCATTCAGGAGGCAGAGGCAGGTGGATTTCAGAGTTAGAGCTAACTTGGTCTACAGAGTGAGTTCTGGGACAGCTCGGGCTACACAGAGTAATCTTGTCTCAAAAAACAAAACAAAAACCTCAAGCAAGCAAACAAATAAATAAAATGAAGGAAGGAAGAAACAAAGAAAGAAAGAAAGGAGCATCAGGCTGGGCAGCAGTGGCGCACACCTTCAATCCCAGCACTCGGAAGGCAGAGCCAGGCGGATCTCTGTGAGTTCGAGGCCAGCCTGGGCTACAGAGCGAGATCCAGGACAGGCACCAAAGCTACAACTACACAGCAAAACCCTGTCTCGAAAAAAAGAAAAAAAGAGCTTTATAATTTTGGTTTTATATTTAGTCCTTTAAACTATTGTATTAAAATTTTCTATATAAGAATTCAATGTTTAGACTTCTGAATATGGCTATTTCATTTTCTCACTACTATTTTTTGAAAAAATATTTCATTACATAATATAAATATCTACAAAATATTCCCAATGACTGTCAATAAATATGGATTTATTAATGTCTCAGTTTCTTTTCCTGCTGCTGTGATAAAACACCTGGACAATTGATTAAGGGAGAAATGGTTTATTGAGCTCATAGCTCCAGGTTAAAATTCATCACAGCCGGGCGGTGGTGGCGCACGCCTCTAATCTCAGCACTGGGGAGGCAGAGCCAGGCGGATCTCTGTGAGTTCGAGGCCAGCCTGGTCTACAGAGGGAGATTCAGGACAGGCACCAAAACTACACGGAGAAACCCTGTCTTGAAAAACCAAAAAAAAAAAAAAAAGGAATGCTTGCTGCTCTTCCAAGGGACCAGAGTTCAGTTCCCAGCGCTTAAGTCAGGTCACTCACAGCCACCTGTAGCTGTCCCTCTGGGGGTCTGAAGTCTCTGGTCTTTGAGAGCCCCTGTACTCATGTGCACGTACCCACACACAGACACATAATTAAAAATAATACAAATCTTTAAAAAGAACGAAAAAAGAGGCTTTAAAACCAGCCACTTGGGACAGGTATGAGGTCCCACACCTACAGTCTCAGCTACTTGGGAAGCCCAGGCCAGAGGCTTGCCTGAGCTCAGGTGCTGCAGTTTGGATCTTGTGGGCTTGTCTGCAGGTGACACAGCTGTGGCCACTTAGGAGCTCGTGTTGACAGCTTGGTCCCAGGTGATGGCACTTGGGGATGGTTAGGAACCTTTAGTGGTGTGGACTAATAGAAGTTACATCAGTAGGTGCGTGCCCTTGGAAGACATAAGGACTCCGGGCCCCTCCTTTCTCTCTCTGCTCTCTTCCGCACACCTTCTGGGTAACGCTCTGTCCCACCGCAGGCCAGCAGCAACTGGAACAAGAGATACGGACCGAAACCGTGAGCTGAGATCTTTTCTCCTGTTGTATGTGCTTTGTCAGTGATAAAGGTGACCAGTAGAACAGGAGTTCAAGTCCTACCTGGGCAACATAGTAAGCCCCTGTCTCATAAAAAACCAAACCAGAAACTGCGCTTGGTTAAGCACAGCTATGGTCCCAGCTACTCTGGAGGCTGTGGGAGAGGATCTCTGAAGGAAGCCCCAGGGTTTCAAAGAGACCCATCTCATATCAACCACCTATTTTATTTGGGAAAGATATTTCATACTACACAGGAATGAGATGACAGATCTGGATAAAGTTTATTAAATAAGTTTTGCATTTTTTTTTGAGACAAAAATCTCTATCCTGTAGTGGGTGGGGGCAAGGAATGATCAGATTTCTTCTGCCTTGGGGAAGGTAGGATGGGGTATCTGAGACACCCACAGAGGAGCTGAAAGTAGGGCTCGGGGATAGATGGGGCGGGGAAGGACAGACAGAGCTAAGGGTGCCTGAGGTCTGTGCAGGGCCATGGGGGTGGGGAGACAGGTTCATCCGGGAGTCCATCATGTGTCTGGAACGCAGGATCGGAGAGGAGAGGAAAGACATGAGAGCCACAGAGGGCATGCTGGGAATCAATTTCCTCTTCCATAACTGAAAATTTGGCAGGGCACGGGAGAGCACACCTGTAGTCCCAGCACCTGAGAGGCAGAGCAAGCTGGAGGATCAGGAATTTCAGGCCAATTTAGACTACATAATAAGACCCCGACTCAAAAAACACCCCACGCACTTGGGATGTATCTCGCTGGCAGAACACAGGGGCCTGGGCTCAATTCCCAAAGCCACAAAATAAACTTAGAACTTGGTGTCTTACAAAAACCGAGTGGGATGGGAGCTGGAGCGGACCCGCCACCTCAGGTGTCCTTCTCGGGGAGCACTTCACAGGCCGAGCCACCCCCACCATCACCCCCAGCCCCAGGACCGGACTGCTGAACTGAACCTGCAAGAGACTCAGAAGCCGAAATCAAGACTCTTAGTTTTTCTGAAAAGAGCTTTGTGGCTGTGAACCGGCAGGAGGCAAGGAGGCAAGCTAGAATGACCTCTGATCTGCAGTGAGGGCAGTTACACGGGGCCGGGGGCAAGGGGAGGCAGGAAGCTGGCTGGAAAGGGAAAACCGCGGCCCTGCCCAGGTGGAACCTGGGGATAATTCTCCCCTGTTTGAAGTTCGCTCAGTGGAGTCCGGTGTCCCCCCCCCCCCCTTTGTGTCAGGCTTTGGGCCCAACAGGCTGTCAAGCTCATGCGATTCCTGGATTCTGTGCCTATGACCTGAAAACATGGCTGGCAGGAAGGAAATTGTCCTTTTGTGACTTTTCTCTCCCTCCTGGGGAACAAATGCTAATCTGCCTCAGACTGCTGGTCACCTCCTAACTGTGACTTTTCTTGTTTTAAAAATATGTATTTAGCTTGGCGGTGGTGGCGCACGCCTTTAATCCTAGCTCCTGGGAGGCAGGGGCAGGAGGATCTCTGAGTTCCAGGACAGCCTGGGCTACACAAAGAGGGTAATTTATGGAAGGTGGGGACAGTCCTGGGGGTCACATCATATATTGAAGAACATTCATATAACTTCTTGAACTGGGGTGAAGGCGTGGGTAGTTATGACTGAAGTTGCTTTCTAAATTTTTTCCTCTGTAATTTTTCAGTAGATAGTGAAAATTCATATATAAAATTTTAGTTTTTAACCTTTATGTGTATGGGTGTTTTGCCTGGATATATGTATGTGTTTACCATGTACATGCAGTGCCCACAAAGGCCAGAAGAGGGCATAAGATCCCCTGGAATGGAGTTAAGGTTATGTGTGTCCTTTGGGTGCTGGGAATCGAACCCTGGTCCTTTGTAAGAGCAGCCAGCATTCTTAACAGCTGAGCCATCTGTCCAGACCAAAAGCCCTACTTTAGAATTTCAGAAACTGGCCTTATTTCTACAATATTGTTTCACATTGATTGATCCAGCTGTTTTCTCCAGCAAGTGACAAAATCAGACCAGTCTGTGGATGGCATGGAGGCTGGAGGGGGTGGGGCAGCCAGTGAGGGGCCACTGTGGTAGTCTGGGCAGGAAATGCCAAGTCCTGGCCTGTGGCAGGAAGTCTGGAGGGTGGTCGGCAGATTTCTGAGAGTCTGGGCATGTGGTAGGTGTGGGAACGTGCTACTTAGACCCCTGTTCTTCAAGGAAGGGCTCAGCCTGGCAGTGTAGAGTGCTGGGGGCATGGCTTCCCACTGTTAGCGCCTTCAGAGTGTGCCTCTACTACGGAGAGCATGCTGCCCATAGCAGCAGGTGGCAGGGAGATCCAGCCATTGCAGTCCAGAGCATCACTAGCTCCAAAGCTCCCTGTCTGGTGGGCTGGGTCTGCTCCAGCATCTCCTCCTGCCCCATCCATCTCCCTTTCAAATCTCATGCACTGAATTTCATCTAAGCATTGGCTTCACTCTGAGCCTCGCAGTCTGGTCTGGGTGGGAGTTTCAGAGGCTCCGTGATGCCTGAGAGAAGAGGTGGGGCAGGTTTGACAGACTTGGAGGAATGATGGTAGTTTTGGCTGGAGGGTCTGAGGCTCCAGCAGAAGGCTAGCCTCAATGACAGGCCTGTAAAAGCATTACATGCCAGTGCCTAAACCTATCAGGACTGGAAATGGCAGCTTGCAGCCGCCACCCAGTGTAAGAAGAGGTAGGAAAAGTTGTTAGGGGGAGTGGACTCATGCAGGGAGGATTTGGAAAGGAAGCACGGGGCAGCCCGGCAGTCCCTTCATTTTCTGGCTGTGTGATGGCTGCTCGCTCACAGCAGCTCCATGTATGGTTGGGGAAACTGAGGCACAGAGAAACTGTGAGGCCTGCCCGGGGCTCTAGGTGCAACCAGTTAAAATGCCAAACCCCACCTTTATGGCTTGGTGCTCACAAGAGGTGTCAAACCGCTTAGTCAGAGGAAGCACTGTGGCTTCTGGCTTGACAGATGTCATGTCGGCACACCAGCCACACCGTTTTGGTGCCTGTCCTGGATCTCGCACTGTAGACCAGGTTGGCCTCACACTCACAGAGATCTGCCTGGCTCTGCCTCCCAAGTGCTGGGATTAAAGGCATACACCACCACTGCCTGGCTTCCAATATTCTTTAAGACGTACTACATTTTTATTTTCTCTCTCTCTCTCTCTCTCTCTCTCTCTCTCTCTCTCTCTCTCTCTCTCTCTGTCTGTCTGTGTGTGTGTGAGTCTGTGTGTCTGCGTGTCTGCATGTGCTCTAACCATGGTCTGTGTGTGTGGAATTCAGAGGACACTTTACAGGAATTGGCTCCCTCCTTTCACCATGTGGATTCTGGGAATCGAACTCAGGTCCAGGCTCAGCGGCAAGCTCTTTATTTACTGAGCCGTCTCATTGGCCTTTAACACTTATTTTTGTGTGTGGCTTTAAGTGTGGGTATGCAAGTGTGGGCTACGGTGCATTATGTAGAGGTCTGAGGACAGCCTGCTGCAGTTTGGGTCTCTTCTTCCATGGGGGCTCCAGGGATTAAACTCAGGTTGTAAGGCTTGGCTGCAAGCACCTTAATCCACTGAGTCATTTCATTGCCCCTTAGTGGCATTCTTTTTTTTTAATTGATTTATTTATTTTACATCCCAACTGAATTCTCCCCTCCATCTTCTCCTCCCATTCCACCTCCTTACCTCCCCTCTGCCCCCACCCCCGCCTCCCCCTTAACCCACTCACTCCTCTTTCAGTTCAGAAAGGGGCAGGCCTCCCATAGGTATTATCAAAGCATGACATCAAGTTGCAGTAAGACCTCCCTTGTATTAAGGCTGGGCAAGGCAATCTAGCATGAGGAATAGGTTCCCAAGAGCCAGCCAAAGCATGAGGAACAGTCCCTGCTCCCACTGTTAGAGTCCCACAAGAACACCAAGCTACACAACTGTCACATATATGTAGAGGGCCTAGGTTGGTCCCATGCAGGCTCCCTGGTTTTTGGTTCAGACTCTGTGAGTTCCTATGAGCTAAGTTAGTTGTTTCTGTGGGTTTCTTGTGATGCCCTTGACCCCTCTGGCTCCTACATTCCTTCCTCCCTCTCTTCAGCAGGGTTCCCTGAGCTCAGCCTTATGTTGGCTGTGGGTCTCTGCATCTGTTTCTATCAGTTCCTGGATGAAGCCTCTCTGATGACAATTGGGATAGTCACCAATCTTATCACAGGAGATGGCCAGTTCAGGCTACGTACCCATTATTGCTAGGAGTGTTAGTGGGGTCATCCTCGTAGATTTGTGAGAGTTTCCCTTGCATTGGGTTTCTACCTGACCCCCAAATGCCCCCTCCCACATTTTAGTCATCTCTCTCTCTCCTTTGTACTCCTAACCAGATCCCTCAAGTTCTCATCCTCACCTGCCCCCAGTCCACCCGGGAGATCTCTTCTATTTCCCCTTTCTAGAGAGATCTATGTGTCTATCCCCCCTTGGGCCCTCCTTGTTACCTAGCCTTTCTGGGTCTGTGGATTGTAGCATGGTTATCCTTTACTTTACAGCTAATATCCACTTCTGAGTGAGTGTACATACTGTGTCTGTCTTTCTGGGTCTGGGTTTCCTCACTCAGGATGATTTTTTTCTAGTTCCACCCCTTTTCTTGATGTCATTGTTTTTAACAACTGAGTAATACTCCATTGTGTAAATTACCACTTTATTAATTTTTTGGTTGACCTTAGTGTAGCTTGAGTTTTCCTGCCTGGCCCACAGTCAGGGCAAATCTCTCTCACCCGCCAGTCCCACAGCCGCTCAGACCCAACCAAGTAAACACAAAGAGACTTAAATTGCTTACAAACTGTATGGCCATGGCAGGCTTCTTGCTAACTGTTCTTATATCTTAAATTAACCCATTTCTATTCATCTATAAGTTGCCACGTGGTTTGTGGCTTACCAGTATCTTTTTTTTGTTTGTTTTTGTTTTGTTTTTCGAGACAGGGTTTCTCTGTGTAGCTTTGCGCCTTTCCTGGAACTCACTTGGTAGTCCAGGCTGGCCTCGAACTCACAGAGATCCGCCTGGCTCTGCCTCCCGAGTGCTGGGATTAAAGGCGTGCGCCACCACCGCCCGGCGGCTTACCAGTATCTTAACATGCTGCTTCTCATCACGGTGGCTGGCAGTGTCTCTCTTGCTCAGCCTTCCTGTTCCCTGAAATCTCCTCTCTCCTTGTCCTGCCTATGCTTCCTGCCTGGCTACTGGCCAATCAGTGTTTTATTTATTAACCAATCAGAGGAACACATTTAACATACAGACCATCCCACAGCCCCTTAGTGTTGTGGAATATTAGTTTAAGATGTGTTACATTCATTAATGCTGTGGAATATTTGTTCAATGATGTGTTGCATTCTTTTATGTTGCATTTGTTTAACTCTGTAAAGCTGTGTTTGTTACTTTGCCTGCCTGAAACACCTGATTGGTTTAATAAAGAGCTGAATGGCCAACAGCTAGGCAGGAGAGGGGGATAGGCGGGGCTGCCAGCAGAGAATAGATAGGAGGAGAAATCTAGGGAAGAGCGAGGAGCAAGAAAAGGAGGCGAGGACACCAGGGGCCAGCCACCCAACCACACAGTCAGTCATGGAGTAAGAAGGAAAGAAAGATATATAGAATAAAGAAAGATAAAAAGCCCACAGGCAAAATGTAGTTATAGAGAGATGGGATAATTTAAGTTAGAAAAGCTGGCTAGAAACAAGACAAGCTAAGGCCAGGCATTCATAAGTAAGAATAAGACTCTGTGGTGGCCAGCCCCCAAAGAGTAAAGAGAAAAACAAACAAAAACCAACTACACCTTGGTGGCGTTCTTAGTAAGTGGCTTTCTTATAAAGGTGTGTGTGTGTGGGGGGGGGTTATCAGTCTGTTACAGTGTTGTTTATTTCCAGCTGGACATCATAATGTAATCTCCCTGAAGCTTTAGCTATGGTTAGTGAGTCTGGACACTGTTCATACAGTATCAAGTTGAATAGACCTACTGTGTACCACGAGTGAATTCACTGAGGCAGCTCAAGCAGGTGTGGTGTAGGTAGTGTGGAGGTGCACTCTGTGGTTGTTCCTACAATAGGGGTGGTGGGCTCTATGGAGTGATGGGGATCTCCCAAGGCTGCTCCAAGGATGACCAGGGACATGTTTCCACTGAATTAGCTACTGCTTTGGAGACAGATACTTCACAAGGAGAGGCAGGGGTAAGGATCAGCTCCACCTCCATGGCATTTTTATTAGTGGTAATCAGACAAAGGGTGGGTCCTCAGCTCCCATGGCAATGCACACCTGGGATGTGGGGGATGGGAGGTGGGAGATGGGGAGTGGGGGGTGGGGTGGGGGAGGACTGGAGCTCTTCTGCCAATTTCTTCATTTGTTGTGGCCACCAGAGATCAAATTGATGGGTCACAGCTGGAGCTGTGATGCATACATAAAAGGGAGGCAAGGCATGTATGGCCAAGGAGGGGGGTTTCTCTCCAGACCTTCTTAGGCGGGGTTACAGCCAGAGCCAGAGTGGCATTCCAGCACACCTCTGTAGGTGGGGAATGATGAAAAGTGAGTTCCTTCTCTGCACCGCTGGCAGCAGGCGCCATGGGTGCCCTGGTGAGAGGTGCTTGGAGAGAAGTTCCTGGTCTTGGAACCCACACAAAACCACAGGTGATTAGTCATGTCCCCAGTCTCAGAATCCCCTGGTTCTTATGGATAGCACCCTCTGCTCTGCTCTGCATCACACTGCCAGCTCCCCACCACACAGCATCCTCAGCGTGCGTGATTACTCCTCCAAGCCAACCGTGGTTTGTGAGGCAGCCATCTACTAAGCCTGCTAAGCTGTGGAGAGTTTATGGGGTCCCACAGATGAGAAAGTGCATGTTTTTCTGACCTCCAATGCAGTCCAAATTTAGATAGTACGGTCCCTCTCAAAATGGCTCCCAGCTACAGCACCCTGTGGGTGGGTCATTGGGAGTGGAGTGAATTTCAGGTCACCTGCCGTCATTCACCTCAGTACACAGCTGTAAACCTGTTGCTTTGAAGCAGCTATCTTGCCTGTCAAGAGCCTTGGTTTTTATTAGAGGGTCTCATTATGAGTCTGGAACTCACTCTGTAGACTAGAAGGCCTCCGTCACACATCTACCCAATTCTGCTGTGCTAATGATGATGCTACCATGCCAGCTTTATTTTTAATGTGTGTTGGTGTTTTGCCTGCACGTGCATATGTGTGAAGGTGCCAGATCTCCTGGAAGTGGAGTTATAGACAGCTATGAACTGCCATGCGGGTGCTGGGAATTGAACCCAGGTCCTTTGGAAGAACAGCCAGTGCTCTTAACTGCTGAACCAGCTCTCCTGCCCTCCAGCTTATTTATTATGTGTGTATGAATGTGGGCATGCACGTGTGACGTCACACATGTGGGAAGCAGAGGACAACTTGCAGGCATTGCCTGTCTTCTTCCACGGCGGGTTCCAGGGACTGAAGGCATGTCATCAGGCTGTGTGACAAGGACTTTGCCTCCTGAACCATCTTGCTGGCCCAAGATCTTTTTTATGATTATAGTTAAAGTGTTAATTTCTTCTAGCTTTATATAGATAATATCCCATACCTTAATTTTTTCCAAAATGTTGACTGTAGCTAATATGTGATTTAAATACAATCTCTTACATATGCAGACATTTCAACCTGTATTATCAAAAAAACCTTTGTGTGACCAGTGTGTATATACATATGCATGCCTGTGTGTGTGTGTGTAGGGGGGCAGAGGCCAGAGGATGCCCTGCACTCAGTGTTGAGGCTGTAGGCCTGTGTGGACACTCCTGATACTGTGCATGAGCACTGGGGACCCGAACTCAGGTCCTCATGGTTGTACAGCAAGCATTCTTACCCACTGAGCTGTCTCCCCGGCCTCTCAAATGACATTTTTTTTAAAATGTGCATTGGCGTTAGGCCCACATGTGTGTCTGTGTGAACGAGTCAGATCCTCTGGAACTAGATTTACAGTTGTGAGCTGCCATGTGGTTGCTGGGAATTGAACCTGGGTCCTCTGGAAGAGCAGCCAGTGCTCCTAACCACTGAGCCATCTCTCCAGCCCCTCAACCTGTTTTATCTCTTGAAAGCACATGTAGAAATTATATGGTATCAGAAAAGGCTTTATAGTATTCAGGGTAGGAATATGTTCGGAAAAGTGAGGGGAGATAGGTAAGGCTAGCCACAGATTGGCTTTTATTGTTGTTGTTTTTGAGACAGGGTTTCTCTGTGTAGCTTTGGAGTCTGTCCTAGAACTGCTCTGTAGACCAGGCTGGCCTCAAACTCACAGAGATATGCCTGCCTCTGCCTCCTGAGTGCTGGGATTAAAGGCATATGCCACCATCACCCAGCCATAGGTTGGGAATTTTTTAAGTTGGATCAATAGATGAAGACAGTTTAATAAACTGTTTTCTCCCTATGTATTAAAAACATTTCTATCAGGAGTCAGGTGATCTTTTGGGATGACATTTGTTAATCCCAGCACTTGGAAGTTGGAGGAGGCAGGAGGATCAGGAGGTCAAAGTTAGCCTTGGAACATAGTGAGCTCAAGGCCAGCCTAGCCTAAATGAGACCCTATCTCTTCTTTAAAAAATTCCATTAGTGAGAAAGATGGAAAGAAAAGCATGTGACATACAGTGGCAGTCAGCAGTGACAGCAACTCACTGTATCATCAGCAATCTGTGTTAAGGTGACAGAGCAGTCCCCCAAAGTCACACGGCACTGGTCAGCAGCCGAGATGTGCAGCAGCATGAATCACAAGAGCTACTCACTGAAATTCAATTTTTATTCCAAATGACTATAATGTCTAGAAATACAACAGCTAACACGCAAAATGGTGTGCTTAACTGGAAACCAAAGTAGTGGATTTGTGGGGGAGTGGCCAGCAGGCTACTGGCCTTGGCACCCTGGTTATGCCCAAGAAAGCATAAAAATAAATGGTGTTCCTCTTCCAGTCTGGAGGTGCAGCACTTACAGTGAGGAACACAGAGAGCAGGAAGAAGACAGAGAGAAAGAAAAATGCCACATGATCCCAAGCCTTTGAAATGAACACACAACGGTGGAGAAGACTTTTGGTAGCAAAATTTTAACAATTCTTAAAATGGGAGTCTTTAAAAGTTCTTCAAATTCAAAAGTTAAAAAAAACCAAAACCAAAACCAAACAATCCTGGAGAGGGACAGTCACACTGGCTTGAAGAGCTGATGCACGTCATGAGGATGACCATCAGTCCTACTTCCGAAACAGTTAGGACCAGTGTGCCTGACGAACCTGAACTGATTGTACAAGACCGCGCTGCTCGGCTGTCGAGCGCCTTCTACGGCTCCTCCTGGCTGAGGCCGAGGCGGCCTTTCTGCACCTCTAGCTCCTCCGCACTGACCACTGACGGGTCGATGGCGGCGTATTTGGTTCCCTGGAACTGCAGCAAATGTATCTGGAAAAGTGCAGAATTATGTTATTAGGGCTGACTTGTTCATGGCGCTGACGTTGACGGAGGACTTTAGCAGTGCTTGCAAAGCACTCCACCCCTGAGACCCCATCTCCAGTCCTCAATCTTCTTTGTGAGTATGTGGAGGCCAGAGGTCAACACCGGCGGCATCACTCCTTAGGACTCTTTAAAAAATTACCTTTTACTTCTTCTGTAGACGTGTGGGGGTCAGGACAGCCTGTGGGAGTTGGCTGTCTCCTCCGTGAAGATTCTTGGCACTGACCTCGGGCCGTCAGGCTTGGTGGCAGGTCTTTCACTAGCTGAGCCCTCTCACCGGCCCGCCACCTTGTCTTCTGAGACAGTCTCTCAAAGGCCTCAAGTCTGATAGAAAGCTAGGCTGGCCAGCAAACCCCAGGTCTGCCTGTCTGTCTCCACACCCCACTTTTTAAAAATTGGATTATGGGGACTGAACTCAGTCCTTACCCTTGTATAGCAAGCAGCATTACCAACTGAACTATCATCTCCCCAAGCCTTAATTTTTCAAGGACTGTATTACAGAACAGAGGGCGTAGCACGTTATTAATGAGCATGGTGGGAGATCATGAAAAATTCCTACAATTCACACTAATACAGAGTGACTAGAGATAAGACGGCAAACTAAAGAGCATGGGTCTCTCTATGTAGCTCAGACTAACCTTGAACTTACAGCAATTCCATGTCAGCCTCTAAGTGCTATGGGTACAACTGTGTATCACTGTGCCTGACCAAGGAATTGGTGGGACCTTTGACCCCAAATTGTTTTGTTTTTTAAAGCAGCTTCTCCACATTCTTGCCAAGTTTTCATGGACATCCTCACCCACTATGACCCCCATATTTAGTGTATATATGCACTCTGGAATTTGTGGGCACAAGTGTGGCTTGTGTGTGTAGAGGTCCAATGTTGATTACTCTCCACCTTACTCATTGAAATCAAATCCAGAGCTCTCTAATATGGCTAGTCTTTTTAATGTGTACAGGTGATTTGCCTGCATGCATGTCTATGCATCATATTCATGCAGTTCCCTTGGAGGCCGGAAGATTCAAGGCACTGGATCCCTTGGACCTGGAGTTGCAATTGTGAGCTGCCACGTGGGAGCTGAGAGTAGAACCCAGGTCCTCTGGAAGAGCAGTTAGTGCTCTTAACTGCTGAGCCATCTCTCCAGCGCCCTGATATGGTTAGTCTTGATAGTCAGCTTGCTTTGGGAAATCCCCAGATACTACCTCCCCAGGCTGGAAGTTCAGGCAGGCAACCATGCCCACCATGCATTTATGTGAGTCCTGGGGATCTGAACTAGAGTCAGATCACACTTGCATGCCAAGGGCTTTAACAGAGCCACCTTGCCAGCCCTTCATAAAAACATCTTTTCTTTTTTAAATTTTTATGAGTGTTTTGCTCATATATGTGTGTATATATATAACACGTGTGCCTGATGCCTGTGGAGGTCAAAGAGGGTGCTGGATCTCTTAGAACTGGAGTTATAGATGGTTGTGAGGTACAGTGTGGGTGTTGGGAATCAAACCCAGATCCTGTGCTAGAGCAGCAAGTGCTCTTAACCAGAGCCATCTCTCCAGCCCTTCCTACACATCTTGAACACGCTGCCCCATCAGCAAATGTCTGCCCTGCCTTCCACAGTGGTGTGCGGTCCTTCTGGTCTTCTGCTACTGTGGTTAATGGTACGATGAGCATCCCTGGGCATCACTATTTCTATGTTTAGGACCACCTTCTTAGGATCTACTTCCATGAATACACGAGAGCACTAAAGACAGGTCTCACTGTGGAAGGCGCCCGATGCTTCTTGCCAAATCAAGGCAGTCGCCTGTCACCTCATTCTAGTAATCTCTCGAGAGAATGAAGTGGTGTTTTTATTTTTGCATAATCAGGTCAAGTCGTTTTCTGAGACTCACTGTTCCCATTTAAATGTGGTGTCTTGCTGTGGCTGAATTCCCTGTCTCCAGGAGGCAAGGTCACACCACACCAAGGACCGTCACCACAGTGTGCCATTGCAGGCTGCTAAGAGAGTCACCTTGGGGGTCTCTGAGGCTCAAGGGCTCCCGGGCTGGACTTACCTGCACATAAAGATTGACCTCCGCACTCCTGCACAGGTAGGGGAAATTGCCTCCTGTCTTAAGGTGAGCTCTGCGGGCATTAGGGTAAAGTTTGTACATTTCTTCCTTGGCTTCTGTTGACAGTGCACTCTGGTCAAACACCTTTGAAAACAGACAAAGCTGAAACCTCATGGTATTCTTAGTACAGGACAAAAGTATCCCTTCACGTGCCTGAGTGCAGAGCAGTCAGAGCCCACCTCCCCGTGCTGTTCCTGGTCACATCCAACTCCAACCCAACAGGTAGGAATACAGCTGTGTGGTACGATGCTTGCTTAGTGTGTGCAAGGCCCCATTCTCCCACCAGAAGAAAATTCTAATCCCAACCTAAGGCTTCAGTTACAGATTTGCTGCCAAATGTCTCCTGCAGCTCTCACCTGTAGCTAATTAACAAGATATTAATAGTGGATAATCACTGGGAATGCTAATTTCAAGAAAGATGAAGTCTCAGGACTGGAGAGATGGCTCAGTGGTTAAGAGCACTGGCTGCTCTTCCAGAGGACCCCAGTTAGGTTCCAAGCACTCACATGGCAACTCATAACCATCTGTAACTCTAGTTCTAGGGGATGTGACACCTCTTCTGCCCATGAGCACTGCATAATACACTTACGTACACGCAGGCAAACACACATACACATAAGTATTTATTTTTTTCTTTGGTTTTTCAAGACAGGTTTTTTCTGTGTAGCCCTGGCTGTCCTGGATGTAGCCCTGTAGTTCAGGCTGGCCTCGAACTCAGATCCACCTGCCTCTGCTTCCCGAGTGCTGGGATTAAAGGTGTGTGCCACTACTGCCTGGTTGAAATACTCATTTTTAAAAATTAGAGACTAAAGGCAGGAAGTTCAGACTTCCTGGGAGAGAGGCTCTGGCAGCTGACATCATGTGGTTTTGGATGTCTTTCAGATGCTCTCAATGCAAGCTTGCATACAAGGTAGTTTTTGAAAATATTTTAAAGCTAAGCATATCTTTAATATATATGAGTGTGTGTATGTATACATATATACACACACAAACACATATAGATTTTGTGTGTATATGTATGCATGTTTATGTGTATGTGGAGGCCAGAGGTCAACCTCAGGTATTATTCTCAAGAGTTTGTTTTTTAAGACAGGGTCTCTCAATGGCCTGGAACTCACTAAGCAGGCTAGACTGGCAGGTCAGCAAACAGGAACCTGCCTGCTTGCACCTCACCAGTGCTGGTATTATTACAAGCATGTGCCACCACGCCTAGCTTTTTTTTTTTTTTTTTTTTTTAATGCAGGCTCTGGGGCTGGAGAGATGGTTCCGCGATTAAAGGCTAGGCTCACAACCAAAATGTCAGAATGTTAAACAAACCAGAACCCTTGTGCACCACTCGGGGGAAATATAAAATGACACAACCACTGGAAGACATTGTGTCAGTTCCTCAGAAAGTCTGAAGTTGAATTCTATGTGTGCCACCGTGTGTGAGTGCCCGAGGAGGCCAGAAGAGGGCACAGGATCTCTTGGAACTAGAGCTACGGACAGTTGTGAGCAACCAGGTAGGTGCTGGGAACTCTACAAGAACAATAAGTGCTCTTACCCAGTGAGCTCTCTCTGCAGCCCCAAATTACAAGATTTAAAAGCAAGGACTCAGATCCCTTTACTCTCATGTTAATAGACACATTCATGCCGGGCGGTGGTGGCGCACGCCTTTAATCCCAGCACTTGGGAGGCAGAGCCAGGCGGATCTCTGTGAGTTCGAGGCCAGCCTGGGCTACCAAGTGAGTCCCAGGAAAGGCGCAAAGCTGCACAGAGAAACCCTGTCTCGAAAAACCAAAAAAAAAAAAAAAAAAAAAAAAAGACACATTCATAATAGTCAGATGTCCACTGAAAGGAAGACATCAACAAGATGTAAAGTTTATGTAACAGAGTATCATTCAGCGCTAAAGGAATGACATTCAGATACATTATGGGGCCAGTGAATCATTTTTAATTTTTATTTTGATATGAATAGGTTTTTTGCCTGCATGTATGTCTGTGCACCACATGCATGTAGGCCAGAAGAGGATGTCAGATCCTCTGAACTGTAGTTAAGAAGGCTTGTGGGTTATCATGTGGGCGCTCAGGAGCAGCTAATGCTCTTAAGCACTGAGCCACCTCTCTAGAATGAATTTTTTTTCCAGATTTTTATTTTAAATTATGTGTACATGTGTGAATCTTTGTGTGGGTACATGCATGTGAAATCAGTGTCTCCATGAGAGGGTTTCAGATCCCCTGGAGCTGGAGTTACAGGCAGCTGGGAACCACCAGATATAGGCTCTGGGAATTGATTTCAGATCTTCCAGAAAAGCAGCGAGTGCTTAGCCACTGAGCCGTGTTTCCAGCCTGGCTCTAGTCAACCTTAAAAGCGTTGTGATAAGTGGAACAGTCTAGACTTGAACCAATGGCATACCCAGAGCAAGCAAATTCACAGAAACATGGAGCCAGTTGGTCATCAGCCAGGACATGGAACATGGGGATCTACTGTCTGGCCAAGAGTTCCGGGCTCAAACTCTTGGGCCTGGCAGCAGGCAGTGTGGGCTGTGGAGCCATCTTGCCAGTCCTACCTTACAGAAATTCTCTACTCTTGTGAGGCAACCTCTTTGTGAAATGTTTAAAACACAGTACCTACTGATGAGAAAATAAAACCACACTAACCCAAGGGCTTGAGGTGTGTAGCTGAGTGGAAGAGTGACTGCCGAGCACACGGAAAGTCACAGGTTCTGTTCCCACACCCTAAAGCAGCCCTCCCCAAATGGGTAAAGATTACTAGGCTTATTGAAATTTGTCTTTATGTGTTTTATTTAGCCTGCATGAATGTCTGTGCCACATACATGCCTGATATCTGAGGAAGCAGGAGGAAGGCATCAGAGCCTGTGGAACTGGAGTTACAGATGGCTGTGAGCCACCAGGTAGGTGCTGGGAAACAAACCCGGGTCCTCTGCAAGAGTAGTCAGTGCTCGTGACTGCTCAGCCATCATCTCTCCGGCCTGTATTATATATATTTTTACTTTTGGTGGCGGGAGAGTTGAGACAGTGTCACTACTTACCACTGGCTGGCCTAGTGCTTGCTATGTAAACCAGGTTGTCTCCCACCAGAGTATCTCCCTGCCTCGGTCTCTCCAGGGCTGGGGTCACTGGCATTCACTAGCACGCCCAGCACAATGCTGTCATCACTCTTATGAGAAAAAATCCAGGATGAGCAGTAGATTACTTTGTAATTGAGAAAGCCAAGGTATGTTTGCAGAAAAAAGCATGGTTAACGCCACAAAATAACTACATCTTGGCCAGCACCTAATATTACTTCACAAGAAACTTACATCCATGATGGTTACAGGGATGTCCCGAATTTTATGAGGTTCCACATAAGAGTTTTGACAGTTGAGAGTTAGTCTTGAAGCCAGTTCACTTTGACCCAAACTCTCCAGCTGCAGGAAGAAATACAGGTAACAGTTGTGGTCATTTTGTTTTTATGCTCACAGTAGGTCCACAGGTGACATCTGTGCTTATGATGTTGGGAATGTGCATGGGGGAAAAGCCACCAATGAGAAAACACAATGTCTCTGAGAGACTGATCTGGGACTTGAGGGCAGTGGCCTTTTTTGACTGTGGCACCTAAGTCAGGGCTCTATAACTGGAATGTGGTCTTCCTCTGGCTTCCACCTGTGCCACTGCTTAACCCAGGTGCCTATGGGCACAGCACACTAATCTGTGCCCCTCAAAAGTGACAAATAACATGTAAGGACATTGGTCCTGGAACACCAGCTTGCAGACTCATTTGTCAGCTTGGCCTGAGTGGTACGGAAGGAGATCAAGTGAAAACAGATTCTAGCCGGCCATGGAAGCACACCTCTGCAACCCAGCACTCAGGAGGTGAAGTCTGAGGTCACAAGAGACTACAAAATTTAGCCAGAGGTGGTAGGGCATGTCTTTAATCCTAGCACTTGGGAGGTAGAAGCAGGCAGATCTCTGAGTTCGAGGCCAACCAGGGCTACGCAGAGAAACCCTGCCTTAAGGGGAAAAAAAAAAAAAAGACAAGACAAAACAACACAACATCTCCCCACCCCAAAGGAGCTAGATTCTCGGATGCCCAAGAATTGCAGATGTATTCTAGTGTGGTCTTGGGAGCTTTGGTTTTTGGAGACAGTCTTGCTGTATTATCAAGGCTGGCCTCAAGTGGAAAGCATTCTGCCTCAGCCTCCCAAGTGCAGAGGGGACAGGTATAATTACCATAGCCAGGCTGAAAAACTTTACTTAAAAATTAAAGATTTAGCCGGGCGGTGGTGGCGCACGCCTTTAATGCCAGCACTCGGGAGGCAGAAGCAGGCGGATCTCTGCGAGTTCGAGGCCAGCCTGGGCTACAGAGTGAGTTCCAGGAAAGGCGCAAAGCTACACAGAGAAACCCTGTCTCGAAAAACCTAAAAAAAAAAAAAAAAAAAAATTAAAGATTTAATTATATGTTTAAACTGTATGTGTGCAGGTGCCTGTGAGGCCAGCTGAGGGTGTTGGATCCCCTGGAGCTGGAGTTTCAGGTGGCTGTGAGCTCCTTGACATGGGTGCTGGGAACACAACTTGAATCTTCTGCAAGAGCAGTACACCTCTTAACCATCTCTCCAGCCTCTCACTTCTGTTTAAAATTTGTTTTGTTTTTATATATGACACAGACACCATGTGTATCAGTGAGGGGGTATGCACGCATGAGTGAAGATGCCCTCAGCAACCAGAGGTGCTGGAGTTACCACCAAGGGTGGGTGCTGGGAACCGAACTCACTTCTATAAGAGCAGCAAGTGCTCCTAGCCACTGAGCCATTTCTCTAGCCCCTGAACTTTTAGTTATTTGGGTTTTTGAGCCAGGGTTTCTCTGTGTAGACCTGGTGTCCTGGAACTCACTTTGTAGACCAGGCTGGCCTCAAACGAGTGCTGGGATTAAAGTGTGTGCCACCATCACCTGGCCCTTAAATTTTAAACTAATTAATAAACAATGTAATAGATGATGTACATATGAATGGGCACCATCCCAATGTATGTACACACTAGGCGATGTTGCATCAGGTTAAAGGCTCTATGGCCTTAGTGCGCACAGTAAACCTTAAGACACCTTCTAGTTTTTAAAGAATCTATAGTATTTCACTATTGCTGTACATTATAAAAACAAAGAAGGTCTCACTCTGAAGCCTGGCTGTCCTGGAACTCACAGTGATCTGCCTGCCTCTGCCTCCCCTGACAGAGCTAAGCCCTCCCCAGCAGTGGGGTCTGTTTGGAAGTATTAACAGAGGACTGCTTAACAAAGACCTCCTCTACACACCCAGAGACAGATGGACCTCTTTTCACCTGTGCACAAAACTCCCAGTACAAAGTCTCCAGCAGTATCTTGATCCTTACCCTGTCCACCATGAAGTCAATGGCATCAGCCATCATCGGGTCCACTGGGCCAGAGGAAAAGTTCCCAAGAACTATTTTCTTGAGCATAAATGCTGGCATCAGCCAAAAGCTGAAAAAAAAAAAATACAGAGGCTGGTGACCAACACTGAAGTCTGCACATAAATGGTGAGTCATCTTCAGCACTGAAGCTCCATTATGGCCGGATGTCTGGAATCCTGAGGAAAGCTGAACTGCCTTCAGAAAGCCCACAACCAGCTCCTATGGATACCCCAAAGCCCCCAAGAGCTACACTTCAACTCAGGACTCAGCAATATTGCGAAATACCTCAGCACCGGCAAGCATTCTGATGACAAGTTTGTTTTTTCTAACTGGCCTCATTTCCAGTGGCTATTCAGAAAATTCAGCATTAGGAGAAATATTCCTGGCCAGGCAGTGGTGGTGCATGCCTTTAATGCCAGCACTCGGGAAGCATCAGCAGGTGGATCTCTGTGAGTTCGAGGCCAGCCTGGTCTCCACAGAGAAACCCTGTCGTTACATTCTTTACTGTATGTGTGCACCCATAGTGTACACGTGGAGGTCAGAAGGGAACTTGTGGGAGTCAGTTCTCTTTTTCTACCACGTAGGTTCCAGAACTGAACTCGGGTTTGGAAAGACTTAGTGGCAAAGCTCTTCATCTGCTGAGCATCTTGCCCACCTTCTATATGTGACCTTTAATTGGTAGGTAGTCCATGAATTTCAAATGCTGTGCGTCACCATGGGTAAACACTAATTCTCTGAACCTGTGCTGAGGGTTACATTCCCAAAGGTCCAGGCCGTCTCCTGATGCTTACTGAAAGCTGAGCTTCCTCTTGGAAGAACCAACCCATAACCTTGTAAGCTCTCCCCCACCACAACCACTTTCTGCTCTTAAAGCCGGGGACGTCCTTTGCGCTCTCTTTGGCCCCGATAGCATCTTGCTATGTAGCCCAGGCTGGCCTTGAACTTGTACTCCTCCTGCCCCAGCCGTCTGAGTGCTGTGATTACAAGTGTGCACTACAACAGCAGTTTATCCACCCACCCCCCCCCATTGCTGGGATCCAGTCTAGGCCCTGTGCATGATGGGAAGCACTGAGCAGGCACCCTGTTTGGAAAAGGGAGCAGCGCTGGACTTAGGTTTCCACTGTGAATTAGCTCATCTGTGTACATCCTTTTTTTAAAAAGGAAGACGTCTGTGGGGACAGATTTTAAGCCAAGCATGGTGGCGCATGCCTGTCATGCCAGTGCTCAGAGACCGGAACAGGAAGATCTGGGCTACAAAGCGAGTCTTTCCCAACCTTCAGAACTGTGACCCATGTCTTCATAAACTGCAGTTATGTATTTACCCTTATGCACAAGTTAGGTGTTACAGCGACAGGGCACAATCCCGAGGAAGCGGAGTGTGGGGACACATGCTCACAATCTCAGCACTCTGGAGAAGGCACCGGAAGAACAAGAGTTTGAAACCCTCCAGGGGAACAGAGGGAGATGACTAAAGAAAATCACACAGAAATTCCTCTAGTTGGCTACAGACACATGAATGCTTAAACAGAACAGAAGTGATCATTCAATTAGAGGTCTTGTTTACATGATGGGTACACTTCAGCGGTGGCCTATAGATCTTGAATCTATTAGCAAAACTGGGTGAGAACTCCATCTGGGTCTGTTAATAAACAAGTTTCCCCAAACTGTAGAGAAACGATTTAGGATTGCTTCATTCTTGATTGTCACCCAAAAGTATGGTCACTGAGAGTTGAAACTGGAATGAACATGTAATTCAGTAAGCAAATACTGCAAAAAGAAATTAAGCTGCATTTTGATGAAAAAAAATCATAAAATATATTTTACTGAGAAAAATCTCGTTTAAATTTGGAGATTCTGTAACGTTTGAGACTGGGTCTCACTAGATAGCCCTGGCTGGCTTGGAACCTGCTGTATAGCCCAGGCTGGCCTTGAATTCACTTCCTCCAGAGTGCTGGGATTAAAGGCATGCACCACCACACATGGCCTGAAGATACATATTTTAAGGAAGGCAGCAAGGCAGGAAAGGAACCAGTATACATGGAAGAGAGAAATATAAAGAAAAGTGTAAGTATGAAGATATATTTTGTGGTGTGGTGAGGAAAGTTAAAAACGTTTTTTTCTAAGAAAGGATTTGTTTGGAAAAATAAAATTTTTGTCCTAAGGAAGAATGGTTGGATTGCTCTAAATGGTCCAAGAAAGGTAAGGAAACATCAGAGAGCCCAGCAAGTAACAAAGTTTGTGAAGGATAACTAAAACAAAAAAAACCAGGAGCAATGAAGTCGGACAGAGTTTGGCCAGGCAGCCACCTCCCCAACAATGCCTGTGGAGGTTACTGGGTCCTGGACACTTCACGACATGAGGCTTACTTAACTGATAGAACACCAATCTTCCCTACAGAAAGACTTCCTTCCAAGGAATAATTCACCTCTGTCTGCAATGCATCAACTGTACATGCTGTTACCGGGAGATGAACGAGACAGTGATTGACAAGGCTGGTGGAGGGGGGGGCCCCACACCAGCTCCAGCCAAGTAGCCCCCTAGTGGCTGCCTTGATAGAGTACATCTCCAAAGGAGGCATTCCCCTATTAAGCTTTAGCAAGGGGGTGAAAGGGTTCCCAAACAAGAGACTCAACGGGACTCAAGAGCTACAACAAAGCTCCAAAGCTCCATCTATTCCAGTCCCTAGAGAGGATACATCAGTGCTGACCATGAGGTGGTCACAACACGTGGGAAAGGCGAGCATGGCCTCTTTCGTTTTCATACAGGGTCTCACCATGTACATACAAGCCCAGGCTGTTCTCAAACTTGTGATCATCTTGCCTCAGCATGCACCAGATCATGTGGCATGAGCGTGATATTAAGAACAGAGTGGGATATGGCTCAGTTGGTAGAGTGCTTGCCTATCATGCAAATGCCTTGGGTTCAGTCCCTAGGACTGTGTAAACTCGTATGGTGGTCCACACCTATAATCCCAGCACTTGGGAGGATCAAGACCTCTAGGTCACCTCCAGAGAGTTGGAAGCCAGGCTAGAAAACACAAGAACCTGTCATAAGGGAGTGCTGGGGAGATGGCTCAAAGGTAAAGTGCTTGCCCTGGAGACATGAGGCCTGGGGTTCAGATCCCTGGTGCCCGAGCCGGTGCTCGGAGCACACGGGAGGTAAAGGCACGGGATTCCCACAGCAAGCTGGCTAGCTAGACTAGCTATTCAGAAAGTCCTGGAGTTCCAGTGGGAGATTCTGCCTCTATGAGAGATGGAGAGGATAAGTAAGACTTATTAGCCAGGCATGTACCTTTAATACCAGCCCTTGGGAGGGTGAAGCTGGCAGATGCCGAGTTTAGTGAGATCCGTCTTAATAAAGCATAATTTTAATATTTATACAAATAGAATCCTACCAGACTTCATATAATGTCAGCACTCAAAAACAACAACAAAAACCGCCTTCAACTGAGTCTCAAGGTCTAAGGGAAACAGAACTGTCCCGAATCTTCACCCTAGTGCCTTTCACTCTGCTGACAACTACTACTCTTGGAGACCAGAGCTATTTGCATTTAAGTGGCAGGACCTGCTCAGCAGAGCCTTGCCAACATAGGAGCGACTGAAGGTTACAAACTGCCATGTGCTAAGCCACAGACAAGCACACGACTCACCTACTTACAATCTGTTCTAGAGCAGTGATTCTCAACCTTCCTAATGCTGCGACCCTTTAATACAGTTCCTCATGGTGTGCTGACCCCCCAACCAGAAAATTTTGTTGCTACTTTATAACTGTAGTTTTGCTACTGTTACAAATTGTAAATATCTGATATGGTACCCTTGTGGGGTCGTGACCCACAGGTTGAGAACCACTGTCCTAGAGGCGAGGAAATATTTGCCAGTATATAAACAAGTCCAGACAGCACTTGACTGGATCTGGGGTAAATGGCTGTTGTTTTCTTCCCTTGCAGAACTTGGAATGCCAATTACGGGTTTAGTGTAAAACCACGGCAGGAGGCTTTTGTTTTGTCGTTTGAGACAGGCTCTTGCCATGTAGCTCCAATTAACCTCTGACAATTTCCCCTGCAGTTTTCTCGGTGTTAGGACGTCAGGTTCATACCACCACATCTTGATCCTACCATGTCATTTTAAGTGACATTAGAGTCTAGAAAGGACGAAGCCCCGAGGGTGGGGCGGTAGTTCAGTGGCTGAGCGCTCGCCTGAAACGCACCAAACCCTTGGGACAACCTTTGAGCATGTTCCCTACCACATCCTTTCCTCAGGAATGGGAAACTACCCAGCTATACTACTGGCCAGTCCCAGTGTGAGATGAGAGTTACCTCTGCAGTGAATTATACCTCTCTGCTCCCAAATGGTGTCTCTGATGCCACCACCCCAAGTATAACTGCCTATAGACTATTGAACTAGTATATGCAGCCGTCTGGGCCTCTCTGATCAGGCCTATCCCACTGCTGGCATGGGCACATGGTAAAAGCATTACGGGGAACCCAGAGACAAGAGCAATGGCGCGGGAGGCAAAGGCATCATATAGGGTGCTAGGCTTAGCCAAGGGAAAGCAGGTTGCTAAATATCTTGCAGTTACTAGTGGCTGCTCACAGCATCCCTAGGTGACCATAATCTACTGTTACAGCCCCCAGAAGGGATAATCTAGTAGGTGGAAAGCTGGCTGCTGGAGTTGGTGACAGCTCAGTTCTAACTGGACCTCTGGTTCCTCACATTGATTTCTCTCAATATAAACTTTCATATACCAATAAAGAAAAGAAAGACCTGAAGAACAGGACTTTGCTGTATGTGTGGTACATGCCAGAGGACACAGCTGTCTTCTATCACTCTTGGCCTTATTCCCTTGAGACAGGGTCCCACTGAAGCTGGAGCTCACTGTTTTTAGGCTACGCTGTCTGGCTAGCAACCCTTCTGTCTCCACCCCTGCCCCACCCAGCACTGGGTTATAGGCAGGTGTGGATGTGTTCTGCTTATACATGGGTGCTGGGGACCTTAACTCAGGTCCCTATGCCTGCTGCACAGCACTCTTACCAAGCCCTAGGATTTCACTTGTGACCTGTAATCCTGGATGGAAATGCTGTGGTCTGGAGGTCACTCAGCTCTAGAAAGCCCTTGCAGAGACTGTGACAAAACATTCCACTGCACAACAGTCTCCCAATGGGTATGAAGATGTACATGGGACTCTTTTACACGCCACCCTAAAACTTCCTGGTGTGTACCAGGTTTGGTGGTAATACCAGCGCTAGGGGAGCAGAGGCAGAAGACTCTGAAACCAGTCTGGGCTACAAAAACTCCAACATCAGGTGTGGAGATACACACCTTTTAATCCTAGTACTCAGGAAGCAGAGGCAAGCAGACTTCTAAGAGTTCAGGGCTACAAAGTGAGTCCCCCCATCTCAAAACCCCCAAAGCAACAAAACTAGTGTGTGTTAAAAATCTGAAGGAAAAATTAGACCTCTGTGCTCCAGCAAAGAGTGGCAAGTTAGTGTCCCTCCAATGCTCCAAGACCTTTGTGAGTTTTGTAGATATATATTTTCTAGGTGGGTAAAGGCCTATTGGACTTGCATTATCAAAGAACTCTTAAAGAAATATCCTGGAATCTGGCTTCCTTAAAGACAGTGCCAGGGGTTGGGGAGTTGCTTGGCGGTTAATAGCACCCATTGCTTGATTCCCATCACCCACTCTGGGCAACTCAGAAGTGCCTGTAACTCCAGGGGATCTAATGCCCTCTTCTGGACTCCATGGGTACCCACACTCACATGCGTGCACACAATATTTTTAAAAATAAAATCTTAAAAGAACAATGGACCTTCTTGGGCCCCAGAAGTCACCCAACCAGTGTCTAGAATACTACCTACTACTTGGAAATTACACTCTTCTAGGAGGCCCTGGGCAATGAAAAAGACCAGTAAGAAAACCGTTGCAAAATCTGTCAGGAAACCAATTTGGAACAAATGGTACCTGGGGTGGCTCAGTGGGTAAAATCATTTGTTCTGTTCCTAGAACCCATGAAAAAGTCACACATGGTGGCAAGCACCAACTCCTACTGTGAGATGGGAAGAAGAGCCAGGAGGAGGACCCAAAAGCTGGCTGGGCCAGCCAGCCTGGACTATGTAGCTTGGCAGAAAGAGAGACACTCTGCCTCAACAAGGTAAGAGAGAACAGACTCCTGAAAGATGCCCTTTAGCCTCCCAAAGCACTCTGTGGCACATGTGTGCCCTATAGTCACACATCATATACAGTAATAAATGTAAAACTCTACTATAGGGCAGGCCACTTGAGATCTCTCCCTCTGTCGGAGAACTTGCTGACTTAGTCAAGGACCAGGGGAGACTGGGTAAGAAAAACATTGGGGTAATATTAACCTTTATCCAAGTTTGCCTCTAGCAGGTCTGTATAAACCAGGACCATGCCATCCATTTCTGCCTGATGACCAGGTCCTACAAACCTCCCAGGAACACGGAGCAGACCATGAGCATGCAGCAAAGTGAACCAGCCCAATTCAAGTACTTCTGAGAAACCCTTCTGTCAAAGGGTCTAGACCTAGCTTAGACTGTGGATCCATCACCAGGACATTCAGATTCCCGAACTGTCACTCAGTAGAGGCTTGGTGACACACACTGTAATACTTGTCCTTTCCCTCGATGCCAGCAAACCCTTTGCATTCTGACACAACCTCCTATGTTTGGCTAGGAACACCAGCCTTGGGGAAGATGGCTTATCCATCAAACTGGCTGAGTCCTACAAGACTTCTGCTCAATATTTCTCTTTAGTGTGGGATTTACTAGATACATTTACTAAGGAAGACATATGAACAAATGGAGACGATCTCTTCTGAGGCCTTACCCAGAAACTATACAGGAAGGCTCTTATACTGTGGAACAGTGAATGGGAATGGTGCAAATCCATCTCTGTCCTGGGCTTATTCCAAAGAGGAATGGTGGATGCCCTTAGAACAAGGGAGGCAAACCTGACTTCACCTTTAACCTGGCCTGTAGTTAAAGCCCCAAGCCAGAATGACGCTTAGTAAATGAGGCCAAGAGTTGGTTTTGCTGGGATGGTTACAGCAGAAGTTCACCTAACAGGGCAGACTTCTACCTCCAAATTAAGCAATTCCGTTTTGAAATCACCTCTCTTTTCTCATTAAGTAACCCCTGGAGTCAGTGCCCTGTCCCACAAGGCTGTGGACTGGAATCTAACACAGTAGGAAGAATAAGTGCACCACTGGTGGTATTGGCTGGAAAGGCCCAGGCCTCCATGAGGACACAGCTCTTTCTCAGCATTTAAACCAGCACTGCTAATCAACACAATACCAAGTTTCCACAATAAAAGCTTAAAATGTGTTCTAACACACAATAAAATAAAAATCTCTGCTAAGGTGATCGTTCAGGACCCTAGCCTTCAGATCTTCTGGGTCTTGCTGACTTACCAAATAAATCCTTTCCTCACAACTTGTCCTTAACTCATTGGGTCTTTTTCTAGTGGAAAGTAAATGGACTTGTGTTCAAAGTAGAGACTAGCCTTCCTGACAATAAGTACACACTGGCCTTAAGATACCATTTAATTTATCAAGTAAAATGTTAAAACTGGGCTGGGGAGATGACTCCATGGAATAAGTGTCTGTTGTGAATGCGGCGAGGATCTGAGTTCAGATCCCTGGAACCCGCACAAAGCCAGAAGCAGTAGCACCAGCCTGTAATCCTACAGCAAGAAGGGAGACTCCCCAGAGGCTCATGGGACCAGCTACCGTGGCATACACACAGCAGGGAATGTCGGGACTCACACCCAAGGTATCCTGGTTGCCACAGCGCACCATGGCTTACACTCACATCCGCAAAGATTAAAAGTAAAACGTTAAAATCAATGAAAGGATCGTTGAGGGGAACCTGGTAACTCACAGGAAGCCCCTAAAGTAATTCTACTATGTAAATTCTAAAGCAATTCTGAAGAATGGGACATGAAGTGTCATGATCACACCACCATGAACTAAGTGTTCTTCACCTTTGTGGGGACGATCACCCCCAGGGCAATAGCCCAGAAAGAAAGGAGAGCAAACTGAGATTTACAGCAGAGCACGACAGAAAAATGGGGAAATCCACACGAAACTGTCAATTTAGAGTCAGTTTACCTTCCGATCTTACGAGGTAAGTGGGACAGAACAGCGTCTGCTACTGCAGACCCCAGAGAGACTGAAAGCACGTGACTACATGCTGAACCCAAACTGAGTAAAGAGAAGAGCTGAGGGTGGCGCTCACAGCGTTCTGTTCTTGTCCATTTTCTGCTGCCACTGACTCAAACTCCCCACAGCCGACACTGAAAAACTTCCGTTCTTACCTGTTTGCAGTCCACGTTTGGTTGAAGATGGACGTGTCACTGAAGGCATTGCAGAGGATGAGGGAGTGGACTCTCGGAGACTTGTGAGTGTACTCAGCAAATTTCTGTGCCAAAAAACCTCCCAAAGATGCCCCAAACAGATGGACCTAATTATAAACAAACATAAGGCAGATCCTAAAACACTGAGTTGCTTCAATTTTTGTGAATCACAGAATATGCCATCACTACCTAGCAGGCTGAAACAGCTGCAGCAGTTAGAAATTTAACAGACATTTAAATAAATTTATATACCCCATCAAGAAAACAATGTACAAGGTTAAAACATGACTCAGCAGTTCAGAGTGTTTGCTGCAGAGTTTGGATCCTAACAGCCATGTGACAAGCCAGTGTTCTACACATACCTGTAGCCCCAGACTCTGCCTCCCAGGAATAGGTGGAGAGTGACAGGACACCCAACACCCTCTGCTGACCTCTGCAAATACTTGTATCTGTGCATACACTAATACACGTAAGTCTCAAACAAAAACCCCGGAAACAACACACTGGATATGGTTGTGGGGAGCGGAGGTGAGGGAATGTGTACCACCAACACAGCATGTCAAGGACCCATGGGAATGGCAAAGCCTTCCCTTGGACCAAATGTAAGTGTTGATGAACAATTGACCTTCAGCTGTGTGCAGACACTATCAACCACAGCTTCCTCCTCCTGGGTAACTACAACCTGAAACTGCTCCCCTCTACCGCCTCCTTGTTCAGGGGTATACAACCAACTGAGTTTTTCTGGTGCATCTCCATCAGAGCTCATGGCCCACCCGATCCCAGCTTCTCTGTACATGTGACTGTCCTATCTCCATTCCCTCGTCACTCCAGTCAAGTTTCTAGGATCCAGTCTCATGGGTGGCAGCGTGTGGTAGCTCATGTCTCTAATCCTCCCAGCACTGGAAGGTAGAGGACCTGGAGTTCAAAATCATGCTTGGCTACATAGTGAGCTTGAAGCCAGCCTGGGCTACATGAGACTGTCTCAAACAAAACAAAACAATGATCTAATGCCCTTTCTAGTCAGGGTTTCTATTGTGACAAAACACCATGACCAAAAAGCAAGTTGGGGAGGAAAGGGTTTATTTGGCTTACACTTCTACATTGCTGTTCATCACTGAGGAAGTTAGGACAGGAACTGAAACAGGGCATGGACCTGGAGGCAGGAGTTGGCACAGAGGCCATGGAGGAGTGCTGCTTACTGGCTTGCTTCACATGGCTTGCTCAGCCTGCTTGCTTAGAGAAGGCAGGATCACTAACCCTGGGGTGGTTACATTGTGATCACTAACCCACAATGGACTGGTCCCTCCCCATCAATCACTAATTGAGAAAATGCCTTACAGCTGGATCTCATGGAGGCATTTCCTCAACTGAGGCTCCTTCCTCTCTAATGACTCTAGCTTGTGTCAAGTTGGCACACAAAACCAGTCAGTACATGCCCTGAAACCAAACCCTTGTTGAGGACATAATTCTGATAAAATCTCAGATTTTACAGCATTGTGGATCTTCAGATCAGGGACACTCAACAGGTAGAATTTATGCAACTACTCCAAAATTTGAGACACCATCTCAAGCATTTCAGATAGAGATACTCAACCTGTGCTGACCCATGCTACATTGGAAAGAACCTTAGACACATTATGCTAAGCAGAAAAAGCTAGTTACAAACGGCCACATCTCATATAATTATACTTAGGTAAAATGTCCAGAGCAAATAAGGCCATAGAGGTTGCAGAGCTAGGGGGAAAGATGGGGTGTGACTGATAACTTTTCTACTTGCATTTTTTTAAAAAATGTGTGTTTGTGTGTAGACGCAGGCACACATGTGCCATGGCATGCTTGTGGAGGTCAGAGGATGTAGGAGGCACAGAGGCCCTTATGCTCATAGATAAGCACTAGGGAAACCAGGAATGTTAAATATGAAGGGTTGTCTCTTCAAAGGGAGAGATGTATAACAATGTTACCCACCCAGAAGGCTGGGAGGTGGTTAAGAGCCTGGTGACCTTTGTGATATCTGTATGACAGAGACCACACCAGATCCTCGCGGAGACCCTTATGATGTCACATGTAATCAATCCATAGAACCCATCTTTATGGAAGATGTCAAACGTACTTTCTGAAAGTTTTTGATGTACTCGTGCCTTAAGCTTTATTGTGCACACAGGACGAGTTAATTATTACCAGCAAACTTTTTTTCAAATGGTGCTGTGCTTAACTATGCCTAAAATAAACTGCCCGGTGTCAGGCTCTACACTCACTACTGAGTTGTACTGACCCTGACTGCTTTTTTTTTTTTTTTAGACCCCCCCACAACTGGCGCCCAATGTGTAACCGGCACCATGACAAGCTACAGTTCTCATTTACCATGTGGCCCCTGGGCTGGCTTGGTGGCAAGTGCCTTTACCATCTCATTGGCCCAATTTTACCAACTCATTGGCCCAATAAATTTCCTTTTAGGGGGTGGAAAAAAGGTTCCCAAGTTGATAGTATTGACAGCTACAAATATATCTTGGAATTTTAAATATGTGACTGTCTACTTTAAAAATGGTACACTGTGTGATATGTGAATCATACCACAATAAAGCTATTATTAAAAAATAAAAGACAACCTTAGCCTTTATAAGATGCACATGTTATTAGTTTAGGGTACTCACTTTATCCAACTGTAAGTGGTCTAAAAGTTTTCTGAATCCATCACAGAACTCAAGATGGTCCCAATAAACTGGATACTGCAACTGAAATAGAAATTTTATGTTAAAAACTTAAAATGCAACTCATTATTTGAATAGTTCAGGAATCACATAACATTTCCATTGCCCAACCTTTGCTTCATTTTCAAAGTGTGTGAAAACAACATCATTTAATTTTTTTTATTTTTTAAAGACTTATGTGTTTGTATCTGGAACACATATGCATGTGTTCAGCATACACAGGCTCTGAGTTTAATTTCCAAGACCAAATAAACCAAACCAAAACCCAATTCCATATATAGGTAATAAAGTTGTACACAATTTAATTACCACCCCACACACACACAATTAAGTCTTGGTAAAGCTGAATAAATCTGAAAGACTGTATTAACATCCTACAGGGCTGGAGAGATGGCTTGGTGGTTAAGAGCAAATGCTGTTCTTTCAGAGGACCCACATTTGGTTTCCAACATCCACACTGGGCAGTTCACAACTGATGATAAGTCCAATTGCAGGAATTCAACTCCTCCAGCATATACATGTGCACAGACACAGATGCACAGACAGAGACAAAGAGACAAATAGAGAGACAGAGGGACAGGCAGGCAGGCAGGCACACACACACACAGAGTCTCTCACTCAAAATAAAATAAATCTTAAAAAAATTGCCGGGCGGTGGTGGCACACGCCTTTAATCCCAGCACTCGGGAGGCAGAGCCAGGTGGATCTCTGTGAGTTCGAGGCCAGCCTGGACTACAGAGTGAGATCCAGGAAAGGCGCAAAGCTACACAGAGAAACCCTGTCTCGAAAAACCAAAAAAAAAAAATAAATAAATAAATAAATAAATAGTATGTTAGCAGCAAATTTACATTAGCACCTCAGAAAACAGACAATTCAAACACAGGCTGCATATGGGATCAGGCAGCAAAGTATGGTGAACGGCAGAATCTACAATATGTGAATACTAACACCACTTCACGGCTGTCGAGAAATCTGTTTAAATTCAAAAGCGGGCTGGGGACGTGGCGTAGTGAGTGAGGTGGGCAGGCACAAACATGAAGCCCTGAGTTTGGATTCTCAGCACCAATGTGAAAACTGGTGTGGTGGTATGTGTCTGTAACCCCAGGATTGGTTAGAGGCAGATCCCCAAAATTCGCTGGCCGGCTAGTCTAGCCGAATCATGAGTTCCAGGTACAGTGAGAGACTCTCTCTCACAATACAAGGTGGAGAGGCCAGCAAGACGGCGCAGCAGGTAAAGGTGCTTGCCTTAGGCAGCAAGAGCTTTGTCCACTGAGCTTTCCTGCCAACCTGCTACCTATCAAACCTTGACAGTTCTGAAGGTACTTCTGACCTTTCTGCATTCACCCTATGGCTACAGAAATGGGGACAGGGACTGGAGAGATGGTTCAGCAGGGACAGGAGCCACAAGCCTGAAGACTGGAGTTTGATCCCTGGGATCCACGTGGTGGAAAGAGAGAAGTAATTCTTACAAGTTGTCCTCTGACCCACACACCTACATGCATGCACACACACACACACACACACACACACACACACTAAATAAACAAGCAAACAAATGTAATTTTAAAAAGAACCCTGCAGGGTGTGCTGCCTCACACCTTTGGTTCCCAGCACTGAGGAAACAGAGGCAGGTGGATCTCTGTGAGTTTGCGGCCAACCTGGTCTACATAGCAAGTGCCAGGACAGCCAGGGCTACAGAGAGAGAACTTGTCTTATTCTCCACCCCCTCTTCCACCCCAAACCAAACCCAAACAGAAAAGAACCTCAAAGGCAAAGAAAATCAGACAGAACTAAGGCCTCAGAGACCGGCCAGTGTGAGGCAGGAAGCCATGTCAGTAGCTGTTTTCTAGAGGACAGATTCCTGAGGGTAGCTCAGGCTCCACCCATGGCTGTGGAGGGCTAGGGTGCTCACGCTCCTGGTGTGTGTGTGCTGTGTGTGAAGGATGACTGAACACCCAGGACACATGACGATTACCCTCAGACTTGCCATCTGTGGAATGGCGGAAGAAATGAGAGTTAAAGCCAGAGGAAAGGCCTGGAGGCAGATGGGACCCCCATGTAACCGTTTCCTTCCGTGATAGTTAACACGGACTGTCGGCTCTGGAGGACCTAACTCACCTTGCAGACCAGCCTCTGGGCATGGTGGTGAGGGATTATCTAGACTCACTGAGGAGGGCAAACCACCCTGGATGTGTGTGGCACCATGCCCTGGGCTGGGGACATAGCCTAAACATATAAAGGAGAAAGCAAGCTGGGCACCCATGTTCTCTCTGCCGTTAACTGCAGATGCAACACAAGCACCTGCCCCAAGCCCTGCAGCCTTCACACCCACCATGATGACCCGCGCCCTTGACTGTGAGCCAGAACAAACCCTTCCCTCCTCACACTGTTCTGTCAGGAGTTCTGTCCCCGCAACACGGAGGTAACTAACACTCTTCCCGCAGACAGAGAAGACCCCTTTCTCTCCCCCGAGACGGTGACAAGAGCAGCGCTCCACAGGCAGCTGGGGAGCAAACAGTGCAGGTCCCAGAAGCCACCGCGGCTACACAACCTCACCAACCTGTGCTGCGGCACAGGCTCCACAACCCTGTCACAAGCCACAGAACCTTCCCCACAAACACTCTTATTCTAGAGGAAAAAAATCAGAAGGAACGGAGGGAAACGAGATCAAGCCCTAACTATTAAGAAATAACACTTGGAAACAAAAGGCCTTTTTGACGCCGCTGCCTGAGGAGACTTTAAAAGGGGAAACAAGTGCAGAGCACAGTTTAGTGGTGCGGAGCTCTCAGCCAAGGGCTGGATGCATCACAAGAAAAACGAAGGGCTGCGTGACTGAAAAATGAACCAGGAAAATACGAGCTTCCTTCGGATGAAAAGCTCCCGTTAGCATAGTCAGTGAGAAGCAGAAGGACAAAGTCTGGGTTTCAGTGCTGAAGCAGGCATACTTACAGCGATCACCCGGTAACCCCATCCAGTCAGAGCCAAGATCTGCTGGAAAAACACGTCTGCAGTCCCGCTGACGGGAGGGAGGAAGATGAGCGGGCACCTGATGCTTCTGGGGCCGGCGTCATAGAGCGACCAGATCTTACTGTCATCGTCGTCCACGATTATCTGGGGGAAAGTTGAAACTCTGCTGACCCGGAGTGTGAAGGCGCTGGTTTATAACAGTCACTAGCAATTCTAACAAAGCTGCCGTGTTTCTTCCAGGGTAACATGGGGATCACCGACTAGCAACCCACAATAAACTGCTCTGGTTTCCTTTTCTTTCTTCAGTGTGCTTTATAAACTTCCAAAGAGCCACCTTTTCTGTTTTAAATTGACCTGCCTACCCAGAGTAACAGGAAGTCTATTTGGCTTACCATTAAACAGTCAACTCTACTTCATGGTGTTTTCTGTTTTCCCTGTGAGTGCATGCGTGAATATGTGTGTGTGTGTGTGTGTGTGTGTGTGTGTGTGTGTGTGTGTGTGTGTGTGTGTGTGTGTGTACATACATGAGAGCAGTTTGCAGTCATTCTTGAGTGCTGGCTGGCCCAGAGGACTGGCTAGGGTCAGCAGGGTCAGAGACTAAACAGGGGAGACCAGGAGGAACTGAGAATCCAGGCTCTGGGGAGAGGCTAGACAGACCCCAGATGCTTCAGGATCCAATCTAGAGCAATTTGAGAGGGAGAAAGGGATTTCACCAGCAGATGAAGGACCAGGTAGGTAGGTGTGTGTGTGTGTGTGTGTGTGTGTCACTGTTCTAGGAAATGCTTCAGACTATTCACTTGAGGTTGGGAAGTGGAAGAAAGTCTTTTTTTTCAGGAATGGGAGGAAGGAGAGGTCATCAGAGGCCTTTGTGATTTAGTGTTCTTAACCTGTCAGGGAAGAAAGAGCATGAAATGAGGCCAGTCAATAACTTGGCCAAAGCTTGGCAGACAGTCAGGAGGTAGTCAATGCCAGCTAGCTATTATTATACTTTATTGCACCCACACTCATCATTAAAATCAGTATTCATCCATTTTTTTTTTCTGAATTCTCCTAGCTAGCAGGACTGTGGACTCCATAGTGTCCATCTGTGGGTAGCAGTTGACTAACCAGGGTCACTGGTATCACCAAGAGATGATAGATAGGACAAGGCAAAGTCCAGGAACTCAAAATAATTTCCATCTGGCCTTCCCCAGATGGTGACACTATATCTCATGGTTTTGACCTTTGTGTTTTGCCATTTGTTTTGAATCCTAGGTATCCTTTCCATGTGATTGTGGTTTAAAAAAGCACACAACAAAACCAATGACCTTTTCAGCCCACACAACAAATCCCAGTCTTGTAAAAATCATGTAAGACAAGCAGAGACCTCAATCTTCGAGGGCTTGGTCTCAGTAATCTAACTTGGAAGGAGAGTAACACAAATATCAGGTTCTGAAATAGTAGCTCATGCACATATATTCTGAAGCAGCATGTTCTATGAAGTGACAGAGGCATTCTGAACATAGGCCATAAATACCTAAGAGTAGTCAACTTCAACATCCTCTGAGTTCTCTGGATGGCAGTTTCAAGAGAACTTCTTCAGAACACACAGTGTCTGCTTGACAACCTTTTTTGTTTTCCAAGACAGGGTTTCTCTGTGTAGCCCTGGCTGCCCTGGAACTCTCTCTGTAGGTCAGGTTGGCCTTGAACTCAGAGATCTGCCTGCCTCTGGGATTAAAACAGTGTACCATCACTGACCGGCTCTGCTTGACAACTTAAAAACCAAAGCACTGTGAAATTTCAAGCAGATTTATCATGATAGACAATTGGGGAGAAAACTATCAATAAAAAGACTTCTAATAATATTTAGGTCAGTTTGGGTATCTTGGGGCTGGCGATCAGCTTGCTGAGGGAGTGAGTTATCAAGAGAAACTCATGGGTATTACTTGAAGGGATGGGATGAGGTAGAGGGACCCCACTTCTTCAATGATGGCAACAGTCTCTTAGAAAGCGAAAAGGGAAGGGGACTCCCTTTGTAAGAAGCCCGAGTTTGTCTAACTTTGAAGCCAGATTAATCTGATTTTCAAGCCAAAGTCTAGTAACTATGTGATCTCTTGTATGCTAAGTAACTCCATGGACCTCAGGTTTCTTGTCTGTGAAATATACACCCTAGCACCCACCTTGTCAAACTGCTGGAAGAATTAAGTAAGATAGCTGAGGAGTTTCCAGAACAGTGTCTGGCCTATCAGCAGGAAGCCTATGTCTGGGCAAAATGTAGCTCAGATTTCTCTATGAATTCAGACTTGCATGATACTTTCTTAGTTGTCTGTCTTGCTAAAATGATTATAACACATAACACAGGTGATCCTGAGACCACATTCCAAGCGAAAAGGCTCCAGAGGATGACTAGGGCTGAGTAAATATGCATCTGTGGTGTTGGGATGAGACATTTGAACACTTGGTTCCCAGTTGGGGGAACTGTTTGGGAAGGATTAGCAGGTATGGCCTTGTGAGATGTGATGTGTCACGGGGGGTGGGCTTGGAAGTTTCAAAAGATTCTCAGTGTGTCTTTCTTTACCTCAAGGTGTAAGCTGATCAGAATGTAAGTACTCAGCTACTGCTTCAGCACCATGTCTGCCTACCACACTTCCTGTCACGAGAGTCAAAAGACTCTATCCCTCTAAAACCAAAAGCCCCAAGTAAACTTTCTTTTATAAGTTGCCTTGGTAATGGTATTTTGTCATAGTAACAGGAAAGCAAGAAAGCATCACTGCACACAGAGTTCTATGAAGCTTCAGTTTCAGGAACGAAAATAGAAATGACTGTACTTACTATATAGATGTTGTTGCAAGCATTTCACTACATTATCCAAGGTTGAGTATGTAAAAGGAATTGTAAACAAGAAAATCATTACACTTGATTCTACTCCAGTCAGTCTCCAAAGCTGACTGTATGTGACAGGGAACCAGTGAACGTTACACTCTGTAACATCCAGTCACAATATTTGGCAATAACCTTCGCTCTCATATAGTACTAAGGCACAGCTTCTAAACCACACAGATATTAGCTTTTGTGACTATGAACTGCAGGAAAAGCATACTTGCCTTTTTAAGGGGAACGGTACTTCTAAACCAATTGTAATCCGGAGAGACTTTGATCTCTCCCATGATGAGCAGAAATGGAGGTGAACCCTGAAATAAAAGCAGATGACAGTTTCAAGGCAAGAATTCTCATTACATACATCTCAACTCAATGCAGAGGCTGGCCTAGCTGCATCAACAATACTTTAACCAAAGATACAGGTTGTTTACCTCATCAGTACAGACTTAAACTAGAGAAGACGACAGGGTAAATCCCTTTAGTACCTCCAAAAAGAGGAATCCCTTCTTGCAGAATTAAGGAACCAGATTGGGTACAGAATACTCTTTTCTAACCCTGTCCTGCCTGTCCCACTTAGGAGACTCCAAACTGCAATCTGGCTGATGTCTTTTGACAGCATCTTAAGAATCTATTTTAAGTGGGGTGGTGGTAGTGTATGCCTGTAATCCCAGCACTCGGAAGGCAGAGGCAGGTGGATCTCTGTGAGTTCGAGGTCAGCCTGGTCTAAAGAGCAAGTTCCAGAACAGCCAGAGCTGTTACACAGAGAAAATGTCTCAAAACAAACAAAAAGAATCCATTTTAATAAACTTCCCATCTGCCTATAGGACATTTATGATAAAGGGTTAGTAAACCTGTCACAATATGCCATGAATCGAACTTTAATTCACATGTAGTTAATACCCAATGGGGGGGGTCAAATATATCAGTCTCACTGCTTCTAAAAGGTACATAAGCTGAGATGTAACTGGGTGTGATAGAGCACTTGCCTGGCATGCACAAAATTCAATCCCCAAGTGCTGAAAAGTTACAAAAAGTCTCTGAAATACCTGTGATATAAATGCAAATGTCTGCCTTTAGTTTTGATGGCTCTGTGACCTCTGTGCTCCTTTGCTCTCTGTGGGCTTCATCTTTGTTTCCCTAGAGTTTGGAATGGTTTGGCAGTCAGCCTGCCTCATCTGCTGACTAAGGGATGACTGAGTCCTAAAGAGACTGACCTAGGCCCTCCGAGAACCTTTCCTGCTCCTGTTACCGCCAGGCTGGGAACTGGGTATCCTTTGCTCAACCGTGTAATGCCTAATGTCGTAACATGAACCTGAACCCACCTACCTGGAAAGATGGTATCCCCTGCGTCGAGGGCAGAACTAGGGTTCCTAGCAGGGTTGAGGTGAGAGTCCAGGACTCAAGTCTAGGCTGACTTTGAATTTCCATTTTAGAAAAAGCTCTCTGGACTGGCAAGGGGCAGAGGATTCTAAACTCAACAGAACACTGCCTCATTATTTGGCCCTCTCTGAGGGACACAACACTGGACTGCTACCTTGGAGAATCACTAACCTGAACTAGGAGACAGTAAATGTAGACAGTCCAATATTAAACTCTAATTACAGTACTGATAGAATAACGGTCTCTTATCTCAAAGCAAAGGAGATACTTTAAGAGAGGGTTGTTAAAATTGTAATTTGTTTTGTTTTGTTTTGTTTTTTTTTGAGAAAGGGTTTTACTGCGTAGCCCAGCTGTCCTGGAACTCACTCTGTAGACCAGACTGCCCTCGAACTCACAGAGATCCACCTGCCTCTGCCTTCGGAGTGCTGGGATTAAAGACGTGTAAATTAAAATTGTAAATTGTTTTAAAGCACAAAATAAATCACCACCAATCTTATGCTGAAACCAATATGCACAGATTTGGTTATTAACACTAAAACAAAGAACACAATCCTTTACAAAATCCATTTCATCTTAAATATTAACATGTTTTAAAAATATCTAAGCTCTTTAAACTATTTTTGTAGCATAACTTTCACTACTTTTAAAAATTCTTATTAGTTGATAGTTTCATGCATTTATGTAATGAATTTTAGTCAATTTACCTCTCCTGTCTTCCTTAAGCTATTAATTTTTAAATGAAAGCAACTAGCAGCACATAGTTAATTCTGGAATATTTTATACAGACTTGAAATACCACCATACATAGCATTTATGTACTACCAACTGGAGACAATTTCTAGAAATACTTTCTGCAGGAGGGAATATTAAAAATATGTGAAGCAGCCAGGTATGATAGCACACATCTTTAATCCCAGCACTCAGGAGAAAGACAGATCTCTGTGAGTTCAAGGCCATCCTGGTGTACATAGTGAGTGAGTTCCAAGCCAGCCAGGGCTATACAAGTGATAGGTGAGACCTTGTCTCAAAACAAACACACAAAACCAAAACATCAATCAGTTTGCTAAAGTTTACTTCTAGAATCAACCAACTTACAATAAAAATTATTCCTAGTTTTGGAATCAGCTGCAATTCACAAACCAAACTACAGCGCGCACACACACACACACACACACACACACACACACACACACACACACACACAGAGGCAGGCACACAAGGGCACTGAGTTACCCGCTTCTTTCCCACAGCAATGGGCAGAAGGGTAGTCCTTACCAAAAGCCTTCAGTATAATTCACAACCACCTCAGTACTGCAACTCGTTACAACTAGAGATTTTACCCAGCTGCGAGTCCACTTCTGTAAAGACAAGTGATCCTAACACTTGTGCTAGTTCGGCAGTAAGGAAAGGCGAGATGGATACCAAATGCTGCATGTGACCAGCTGACGGCTATCAGGGGAAAAAAAAAATCTGCTGCAAAGGGAAAGCAGCTGTAGCAGTATGAAAAGGAAAGTTTGTTCTCACTCTTTCATCCACTTAAGTCGGATGCTTTTCGAAGTCACAAGAGAAACATTGTGTCCATGGCCCATAAGGTTAGCTGAGATCGTGACCAAACTGCTCAGGATGAAGAAAGAACGTGGGCGGTGAGCTCAGGACAGACTTGACTCAGTTCTTCACAAAAACAAAAGCACTGGTTCAGGCTGGGGAGCAAAGGGCCAGAGATAAGCTTTAATCGTGATTAAGGAAACCCCTCCTCCAGGATGCTGAGGACACCTGGTCCTTTCTGGACTTTTGTTGCCGGACAAGAAATCTGCTAGTTATGAGCATGCACTTGTCCTTCAGGGTTTCAGTAGAACCTGCCCTTTACAGCTGAGGAAATCACCTTTACAAATGTCTAACTCACATGGCCAGTCACATATTGCTGGTCCTTTGTCTCAGTCGATAGCGGACTTACATAGGGGCAATCTGTGATTGTTATTACAACCAATAAAGTATTGGAACTTGGGAGCTAGTGACACAACGATTCTCGGTGCTGGGGATTGAACCTGTGGCCTCGGGAATGCTAAGCATGAGTTTTTGCCACTAAACTACACCCAAAGCCCTGAAGATCTGCACCCCTCACCACACCCGTATGTATTAAATAGCTACCTTTCGGGGGCGATTTCATCAGGGAAGATTTATCCCTCTTTCTCCAGGAACCTATCCACATCTCTAAATGTCACGGCAGGAGAAGCGGCCTGCATGACATCTTTTGACACCTCAAGTTCCTGTTGTAAAAAGCCTTTTGAAAACTCAGACATAGCTATTAGATGACTTCCCAGTCTGTAGAATCCTTGCACCAAGAGGAGATGGAGAACTGCAGATAAAGACAAAGCCAACTGCCTCAGCGCCCAACTTCTAACTCCCTGGGAGAAGAGGAGAAATGAGACACTCCAGCCCTGCGACGTTCCTCATGACTCATTAACAAGCCCCACACTGGGTCGAAGGCAGGATCTCCAGAACAATTAGCCTCTACTCGCAGTCCTTAAAAGTTTACGGAAACCAAATGTTCCTGAGCTTCTGCCCCACGGCCCCAGGTTGGGTGGTACCAGAAAATGAGGACGTCCGATGAAGGCTTTTGTGCACCAACCCCAGAGGGGCCGCCCTGAGTCCTTCGCCATAGCCACACAATAATGGGCTCCAAGGCACACCGACCATCCGCCAAGGATCGAGGCTGGGCCTCAGACACAGACACACACGGATGTGGATCACGTGCATGGTCACAAGGACCGGCCCACTCGTGGACTACGCTCACAAGTCACGCATGCTCGATACACACCCACCTACAACCCTACAGGCACCACACACCCACACTCCGGCTTTCCAAGGCCTGCCCCTCACCTGCCGTGGCCACCCCCGCGTCCCTTTCTCTCCAGCCCAAATGGCTCTTCGCCCCGGTTCGGGCGCTGCGGAGGCAGGCGGCGGGGCGCGGGTGGGCCGGGCGGCTGCAGAGCCGAGGCTCCGCGGGCGCAGCAGGCAGAGGGGGCGCGCGGCCGAGCAGCCAGAGGCCACCGCCTCCCAGGTCTGAAACCCTTAGCTCCCTGGGCGCGCCTCCCGCTTCCGGGTTCTGAGGGGGCGGGGCCGGACGGCGAGGAAGGGGCGGGGAAAAAAAAAATCTGGCGGTAACTATGACGACGGGGCTGGCGTGGAGCCCCGGATGGGAGCCTCGGTGCGCGCCGAATGCAATTGGTTTGGAGGGATGCGGAGGCTGGCGTTGGGCAAGGGTCGATCCGAGGTCACCTGTCTGACATGAGCACCAGGAGGAAGCTATGGCAGTGGAAGTCTGGGCGGTAGGCTCCGGGGACCTGCTTCTACCTTCAGTTTTCGGGTGTCTTCATGCTTTGGGGACACCTTTGGGTTCTGGCTTTGGTGAATAGCGTTTGATATATTCTTTGTTTGGTTTGTTTTTTCTTTGTTTTTGTTTTTGTTTTTCGAGCCAGGGTTTCTCTATGTAACAGCTCTGGCTGTCCTGGATCTCGCTTTATAGACCAGGTTGGCCTCGAACTCACAGAGATCCGCCTGCCTCTGACCCCCCCACCCCCGCCCCCGTGCATGCACCACCACCACCCGGCTATATATCCTTTTCTTTTTTAATTAGTATATATCAATTAATTCATAACAGTGACTTCATTAGGACATTTTCATACCTATTTAAAGTATTTTGATCATCACCCTGTTAGTCTGTCTCCCTTTCATGCTCCCATCTCCTTCCTCTTCTCAACTACGTACTTTTTCTCAGTAAGACTGTTTTTACCTTTGTACAGTTACAGAGCCCCCCGCTCGGATCTCCTTTCGAAGCCCTGTCTCATTTTGAGGCTTTTTTCTGATGTTGTGGGGAACATACTCAACACTAGGCTTCCCCCAGAGACAGATCCTCTTCTGTAAGGCACATTCTAATCATTGTTATTACAAAAGATGTTGCAGACGTCGTGATTCCTTTCTTTCTTTTTTTCTTGTTTAAATATATTTTATTTTGTTTTTATGTTCATTTGTGTTTTTGCCATGGGTGTCGGGGTCCCCTGAAACTGGAGTTTCAGACAGGTGTGAGCGGCCATGTGGGTGCTGGGAATTGATCTCAGGTCCTCTGAAAAAGAGTCAGCATTCTTAACCCCTGAGCCATCTCTCCAGCTCCCCCTCCCCGCCTTTTTGAGACAGGATTTCTCTGTGTAGCTTTGGAGCCTTTCCTGGAACTCACTCTGTAACCCAGTTTGGCCTCAAACTCACAGAGATCCGCCTGCCTCTGTCTCCGGAGTGCTGGGATTAAAGACCTGCGCCACTGCCGCCCGGCATCATGACTCCTTTCAATAAATACAGTTTTGCTCTGAAATAATGTATGATCATATTGAATGACCTGTAAATCTTGTTTGAAAATTTGTAAGAATCCTAAAGCAAGATCCTAATGTTTTAGGGAGAACTTAAATGTATTTTTATTATTTTTTTTAATTGTGTTGGGGGGGGAAGAGTATGTGGTCCACACAAAGTGTAGTGTGTAAGGAGGGCGGAGGAGGGTAGAAGAGGGTATTGGATCCCCAAGAGCTGGTATTACAGGCATTTGTGAGCTGCTCAACATGGGTGCAAGAGCAATATGCACTCTTAAACCTCTGAGCCATCTCTCAGCTTCTAGATTTTCCTCCCCCTCCTGTGTGTGTGTGTGTGTGTGTGTGTGTGTGTGTGTGTGTGTTGGTGCCTGCAGAGGCCAGAAGAGGGGCTTTGGATCCCCTGGAGCTGGAATTGCAGATGGTTGTGAGCAGCCTGACTTGAGTACTGGAAACTCAACTTTGGTTCTCTGGAAGAGCAGCAAGTGTGTTAACTATTGAACCATCTCTCCAGTTCTAGAGAACACTTATAGCCTGTTAATAGGGCCTGTGAACTTTGCACTTACTCAGACAACTGTTTTGAAATTAATATCAAGGTAGATGCCAAGTAAACTACACCCTTAGTCATGATTGGCTAGGTGTGTTAGTGTTCACCTTGAACCCAGCACTCAGTAGGCAGAGGCAGGTGGATCTTTCTGAGTTCAAGGCCAACCACTGATCTATGATTCACAAGTCTTAGGTTCTAGTCTAGGACTTAGATAAATCCCATACACATTTCTCCCAAAGCATAGTGATGTCTCAGCCCTCAAAAGGCTAAGGCAAAATGATCTCAAATTCAAGTTTTAGTGATTCTGTATCTCAAAGCTAACTGAATTGCTCAAAATTATAGCAAAAAGTGGAAGATACAGAATCTGAAACCAAGTTCCACCAGCTCTCAAAACTGAGAGCTCTTCACCAAACACATGGCAGGTAGGCTTTGTTACATATATAATTTTATTACAATATAAAAGATCTAAAATAATGTGTTGTGTCCCTCAGGGTTATTTGTGTCCTCAGTTGTTCTCTGACACATGGCAAGCACACTGTCCAGTCCTTGACTCCAACACAGAGCATTTAACATCGGTGTGTCCAGCTGTCTGGTAATGCACAACTGTAGGCAGCAGACTTCTGAGCCAGGCAAGCCATAGAGCCGGCAGACCTGGTGGGCAGAGTGCTAAGAGTTTGCAGCTGTCCTGAGCGGCATGTGCCGGATGTTCCCACAACATCTGCGCCTGTGTGAGGCTCTCACTGGAAAGTTGGAATGTTCACAAAATAGGCTGTGAATACCAAGCAAAGCAAACAGAGGGCCAAGTGGCTTGTGAAACTGTCCCAAACTTTTGGTGGGTGGAATGAGAATGGGGTGTGTGTCTTAAGACAGAGTTTTATTCTGTAGCCCTGGTGGGCCTGGAACTCAATATAAGGACCAGGTGTAACTAGCTCCCAGACCTTAGCACAACTGACTCCATGATGGACATGCCATTCAGTCTGTAAAACTCGGCATGTACATAGTACCACCTGCTAAAAACTAAAACAAAGACCTAATCCATCAAAGTCCATAGTTCTGGGAACGTCTCTAAATGTACTAACCTTGATTTTTGGCTTCTGTAGTTCTGCTTCTGTCTAACTGTTCTTGTTAACTGAAGTATGTCAACCAAGGACATGGGTTTTGTGCTTAAAAGCTCACCCTGAGAAAGGCTTGGGAAACTCTGGGATCCTGAACACTCAGTGTAGTCAACTGGCCAGCTATCTATTGGCTTAAACACATGTCCAAGCATCTTCTCTAGTGAATACCCCCACAACACAGGTTTGCCTCAAACTCATAGTGATCCTCCTGCTTCTGCCTTCTGAATGCTGGGATTACAGGTGTGTGCTGTCACACTGGACTTGTTTCTCTTTGGACAAGATAACATTTGCTTTAAATCATATAAAACAATTCTAGATATAGCTAGGCATGTCTGAGAAAGATATACATCAAAGGGCTGAAGGGATTGCTCAGTGGTTAAGAGCCATTGCTACTCTTGCAGAGGACCTAAGCTCATTTCCCAGCACCCTTATCAGGTAGCTCACAACTGCCTACAGGGTTTCTCTGTGTAGCCCTAGCTGTCCTAGAACTTACTCCACAGATCGGGCTGGCCTCCAACTCAGAGATCTACCTGCCTCTCCCCCCCACACACACACCTCAAGTGCTGGGATTAAAAGCATGCACCACCACTCCCTGGCAATTTTTTCAAATGATTTTATTTTTATTTTATGTGCATTGGTGGTGTTTTGCCTGCATGTATTGTCTGTGTGAAGGTGTCCTGTCTTCTGGAACTGGAGTTACAGACAGTTGTGAGCTGCCATGTGGGTACTGGGATTGAACCCGGGTCCTCTAGATGAGCATCTCTCCAGCCCCTTCCTGGCGATTTTTTAAAGATATACATGAAATAATGTAATTGTTAGACCTGCAGAGGAATTGAGGATGAATGAAAGTTTTTACTGTAGATTTAGTGTATAAGTTTATATAGAAACCTCCTCATGAGGTTGGAGATGGCTCAGTAGTTAAGAATACTGGCTGCTCTTTCAGAGGACTAGGTTCAACTCCCAGCACCTACATTATGGCTCACAACCACCTTTACCTCCAGTTCCAAGGGATCTGATATCCTCTCCTGGCCTCTGTTGGCACGGCATGGTTGTGGTGCACATACATCACTAAGGCACACACATACACATAACATTAAAAAATAAAAATTCTATTTATATATTAACATAATTAAAACAACTATATTAAGAACTATAGTCTGCTCTAAATCCTTCCATAGCTCCCTTTCATATCTAATATGAAGCCTTGAGCAGGTCTGGCTCTCCAGTCAGCTCTCTGTGAGCCCAATGTGGTATAGCCATAGCAGCTACCTGAAGGGCTCTTCCCCTCCATCACCTGGTAATGTCTTAGTACTTTTGGCCTTTGTATATAATATACTTGGCCTTCGACCCAGGCTGGCTCCCTTTATTGCACCCCTTTGAGTATCCTCAGAAACCATGGATTTGTGAAGAAGTGACTGGATTTCTTTTTTTTTCTTTCTTTTTCTTTTCTTTTTTAATACTAAGTCTTGTAATACCGTCTTTTTGTTGTTGTGAGACAGGATCTCACATCATAGCCCAGGCTGGTCTTGAATTCAAATGTGGGCTCTTCCTGCTATAGCCTCCTGAGTGCTGGATTTACCAGAACATGCCATCACACCCAGCTTGAATACTATCGTGTGTGTGTGTGTGTGTGTGTGTGTGTGTGTGTGTGTGTGTGTGTGTGTGTGCTTAGGGACCAAATCCAGGGCCTCCAGCATGCTAGGCAAAGTACTTTTCCACTAACTAGACCGATTACCCCAAATAGTGTTTTAACTTATTTTTTTTTTTTTTTGGTCCTGGGAATAAAATCAGATCTCACACAGAAAAAATAAGCACTCTACAATGGAGTTACACTCTGCTGCCCCCTCAAGTCCTATTATTCTTTGTGTATTTGTGTGTGCATACATGTAGGTATGTGTGCATGTTTGTAGTGTGCATGAATGTATGCATGTGGAGGCTTAGAGGTCAAACTCAGGAGTCATTCCTCAGGCGCTATCTACCTTGGTTTGTTTCATTTTGTTTTGGGTGTGTGTGTGTGTGTGTGTGTGTGTGTGTGTGTGTGTGTGTGTGTGTACACGGAGGTCAGCTGAAGATATCAGATACTGTGTTAGTTGTATATTAACTTTACACAAGCTAGAGTCACGTGAAGAGAACTCCTCTATTGAAAAATTAGTTTCATAAGATCAGGCTGTTGGCAAGCCTGCCTGTAGGACATTTTCTTAATTAGGGATAGATGTGGGAAGGCCCAGGCCATTGTGGGTGGTGCCATCCCTAGGCTGCTGTTGTGGGTTGTATAAAAAGGCAGGCTGAGCCAGTCAGAAGAGGTAAGCCTGTAAGCTGCTGTTCTCCGTGGCCTCTGCAGCAGCTCCGCCTCCAGGTTACTGAACCTGAAAGCCTTTGGTGAACTGTGATATGGAAGAGTAAGTGAAAATAAACCCTTTCCTCCCCAAGTTGCTTTTGGTCATGTTTTGTCAGAGCAGAAACCCTAACTAAGACAAGTATCTTCTTCCATTCCTGTCTTATTCCTTTGAGACAGGGACTCTCATTGAACCAGAAGCTTGTGGTTTCAGGTAGGAAAGCTGGCCTGTAAGCCCCTGGAATCTGCCTATCTCAGCCACAACACTGGGGTTACAGACACCCATGGCCATGCCTAGCTTTTATGTGGATGCTAGAGATTGGAACTCAGGTCTTCATGTGTGGCAAACATTCTTTTTTGTGTGTGACAGGGTCTCATTATATACTCCTGGCTGGCCTGGAACTCAGAGATCCACCTGCCTTTGCCTCTTGAGTGATGATATTAAAGGCATGTACCACCACATCTGGCTCATAGAAAACACTTTTACCCAAGGAGCCATTTCTCCAGCCCTCACATTATTATTATTATTATTATTATTATTATTATTATTATTATTATTATTGTAGCTAGTGTTTTCCTGCCTGGCCCACAGTCAGGACAAATCTCTCTCACCCGCCAGTCCCAAGCCGCTCAAACCCGACCAAGTAAACACAGAGACTTATATTGGTTACAAACTGTATGGCCGTGACAGGCTTCTTGCTAACTGTTTTTACAGCTTAAATTAATCCATTTCTATTAATCTATACCTTGCCACGTGGCTTGTGGCTTACCGGTACTTTACACCTTCCTTGTCCTGATGGCGGCTGGCAGTGTCTCCCCCTCCAGCTTCCTGTTCTCTCAATTTTCCTCTGTTAGTCCCGCCTATACTTCCTGCCTGGCCACTGCCAATCAGTGATTTATTCATTGACCAATCAGCAACACATTTGACATACAGACCATCCCACAGCATATTATTATTATTATTATTATTATTATTATTTTGGTTTTTCTGAGACAGGGTTTCTCTGTGTAGCTTTGTGCCTTTCCTGGAATTCGCTCTGTAGCCCAGGCTGACCTAGAGAAGTCACAGAGATCCACTAGTCTCTGCCTCCCGAGTGCTGGGATTAAAGGCGTGCGCCACCACTGCCCGGCTACCTTATTTTTTAAAGAGTCTTATTTTAAAGTATGTATATGTGCTTGTGTGGGTATGTGCACATGAGTGCAGGTACCCTCAGAGATCTAAGATGTCCAATCCCCCTTAGAGTTGGAGTTAAAGGCAGTTGTGAGCCACCTAGTATGGGTTCTGGAAACAAACTCAGGTCTTCTGTAAGAGCTCTTAACCACTGAGCCATCCCTCCAGCTTCTCCCACCCCCACCACCTTGTTTTAAGACAGTCTCCTTTCACTGGAACCTGGGACTTGCTGATTAGACTAGGCTGGCTTGATAGCACCTAAATGACCCAGTTTCTTCTCCCCAGCACTAGGATCATTTTAGAAGGGTACAGGGATCAAATTCAGATAATACTTGTGGAGCAGGCACTTAACTAAGTCCTTTCTCTAGCCTATCATTCATTGTTTTTAGATTTATTTTTTCATTTTTCTTTTCCTTTTTTTTTTTTTTTGGTTTTTCGGGACAGGGTTTCGCTGTATAGCTTTGGGGTCTGTCCTGGATCTTGCTCTATAGACCAGGCTGGCCTTGAACTCACAGAGATCCACCTGCCTCTGCCTCCCAAGTGCTGGGATTAAAGGCATGCATCACTACCGCCTGGCTGTTTTGGGGGGTTTTGTTATGCCTTTGAGACAGTGTCTCATGAGGCTTTAAAACTCACTGTGTAGATCAGGCTCTGGCCTTGAATTCAAAAAGATCCCCCTGCTTCTGCCTCCCAAGTGCTGGGATTAAAGGCATGCACCACCATGCCTGGCTCGAGATTTATTTTATTCTTAATTATGTGTATGTGCATGTCTGTATATATGTACGCATGTGCAGGTGCACAAGGAGTCCAGAAGAGGGCACCGAATCCCCTGGAGCTGAAGTTATAGGAAGCTGTAAAGCTGCCCAGCATGGATGCTGGGAACTCAACTCAGGTCCTCTGTAAGAACAGCAAGCGCTCTTAACCCAAGCCATCTCTCCAGGCCTCCTATCACTAACTTCTAACAATTAAAGTCCCTAAGGCAAAGTATCTATCTTCTCTATGATCTCACTAATGATTCAACAATACAAAGAGCAGTGTTAAGGCCGGCAAGATATTCTAGAAAGCAGTAAATGTCAGAGGTTTTAAAACAGTGATCATATAGAAACTAAATGCTTTTTGAAACTGTCTAGTACCAAAGTCCAGCACATTAAGTTCTCCAACCAAGAATAAAACTCACAGTCAGATGGCTCTGTGGTTAAAGGCACTCTGCCACCAAGCCTAATGATCTGAGTTCAATCCCAGAACTCACATGGAAGGAGAGAACCAAGTCCTGAAAATTGTCCTCTGACCTCCACATGTACACAGTGGCACACACAAACACAAAATAAATGTTACATTATTTTTAGGTCACTCGCAAATGGACAAATGGTAATGAATAGATTAAATCCATGGAAAGGAGCCCAATTACCAGAGCTATTTAATATTCTGGAGAAATGATGGACAATTCTGTTCTGCAGGACTACTGTGAAGGCAAAGAGTTCAGGCCATTAGACAGCTGGCTGGCACTTAACAAGCACTAAGTTATACTAAATATATTGAATGACAAAGACGACCCAGGAGCCAGGCTCTGAGCTGGGTGCATCACACATGTGTTCTGTGCCTCCTGACAATCTGTACAAAGCAGCACAGCTGCCATTTCACAGCATGAGACAGATTCAGAGAGGGTAGAGAGCAGCTTAGGTTTACAGTTAGTGTAGGGCCAGGGCCAAAGCGAGGTTTGCTGATTCCAAGTTTCTGCCACTCAAAATTATGTCTGCACATGGCAATTGTTTGATGGATATAAAATACAGTGAAAGCATATTGTATTTCCCTAAATACAAAGTATAAAAGCAGAAGTAATCTTCCAACAGCTGTTCTTTCAAGGGCTGGATTTTGTGCTCAGAAACATTTGTCTCCCAAACCAAGTAAAAAGTCCTTAAAAAAAAAAAAAAATCTAGGGCTGGCAAGATGCTCAGTAGACAGACACTTACCAGCAAGCCTGGCAACCAGGACCTACATGGTGGAAGCAGAAAACTGACCTCTACATACCTCTCCCTCCCGCCACGTAGATAAATTTAACAAATTAAAAAAAAAATCTATGGCCTTGGGTTCTGATCTTCACAACACAGCAATGCCTGAACTCGGTCCTTCATCTTTGAGATGAAATTCTGAGTTACACAGATCTTTTCTCACTCTAAAACCATTTCACCCTGTTGGTGTAAAGGGTCCCCACAGCTGTGGTGGCCCCCAGTGGAAAATACTGTAGGTCTAACAGTGGGAAACAGCAGTACCAGAGTGCTGTATGTAGTAAAGTTCTGCAGAGAAACAGAACAGATTTATAATGAGTTGGTTCACATGGTTATGAAGGCCAGTAAGTCCCCAGATCTGCAGTCTGCCAGCCAACTAGAGGGCCACTGGTTTACAACTCCTGTCAAAGGTCAACAAGGTTAAGTCTCAAAAGAGCAAAAGTTTCCACTCAAGTGTAAAGTCTACTGTACTCTCTTAGCTCTTCCTTCCTTCCTTCCTTCCTTCCTTCCTCCCTCCTGCCTTTTTTTTTTTTTTTTTTTTTTTTTCAAGACAGGGTTTCTCTGTGTAGCTTTACGCCTTTCCTGGATCTCGCTCTGTAGACCAGGCTGGCCTCGAACTCACAGAGTTCTTGGCTCTGCCTCCCAAGTGCTGGGATTAAAGGCGTGCGCCACCACCGCCCGGCTCCTTCCTTCCTTCTTAAGACAGGGTCTCTTGGTGAACCTGGAGCTCACTGAACTAGACAGGCTGGCCAGTGAGTCACTGGGGTCCACCTGTCTCTGCTGCCCTCGTACTGAGGTTACAGAAGCGTGCCACCAGGTCCAGCTTTTATATGGGAGCAGGGGATCCAAACTCAGGCTCTTACGCTTTTGCAGTAGGCACTGTACCCCCAAGCTATCACCCCAGCCCAACCTTTAGTATTTAACTGACTGGATAAGGCTCACTCACATTAGAAAGGCAGTCTGCTTTACTCAGTTTACCCACTAAAATGCTGTTAACCTCACCCAGAGACACCTTCAGACATACCCAGAGTGTCTGACCAAGATAAGGGCACTCTGTGGTGTAGTCAACTTGAGAGGTAACAGCAAAAGGTACCAATTATTAAATATCCAGTGTGTGCCAGGTGCTTCCCTGGGCATTTCCCGTGTAATACCATTCTGCAAGGCAGGCATTTATTACCCATGATATTAAACTGAGAAATCAGGGCTTTAAAGATTCAGGTAACTTGTCCCTAGTCACTCAACTAGACACTAGCAATAGAGTTCTTTTCCATTTGCTTTTGTTTTTAGACAAGTTCTCATATATCTCAAGCAGGCCTCAAATGTGCTCTGTAGTGATGGCTTTGAATTTCTGATCCTCCTGCCTCCGTCTTCCAAGTACTGGGATTACGGACGCGCACCACCATGCCCCATTTGTGTGATGCTGGAGATGGAGCCAGCACTGTGTACATAGGAAGATAAGAAGATAGGAAGAATTCTACCAACTGAGCTACATTCCAAGCCTGAGTTCAGTTTGAAGTCTGAGGTAAAGTGAACTTTTTTCCAGCAATGATAAAAATCCAAAGAGGAATATCTTGCGGAACTTGCTATATAGCCAAGGATGACTTTGAACTTCTGATCCCCCTGCTTCCACTTCTGAGTGCTTGGACTACAGGTGTGCACCACTAAGTGGTTTCTGTGGTGCTGGGGATCAAACCGAGAACTTCACACAGGCTAAGCAGGCACTTTACTTAGCTTCCTCCAGTCCTTAGACACAGCATTTGTTAGTTTTGTTCTGAGTTTAGGATTTCTCTGTGTAACTAAGGCTGTTCTGGAACTCACTCTGTAGACTAGGCTGGCCTCAAACTCACAGAGATCCACCTGCCTCTGCCTCCTGAGTGCTGGGATTGAAGGCGTGTGCCACCACTGCTGGCTACATGCACCATTTTTGAAACAACCTTTTAGAATATATACATACCATTTAGTGCCTTGCTCTTCAAAAGACACAATCTCCTTTAAACTGAACATTATAAATACAAAATTTTATTAAACTTCTTTTGTTATTCACAAAGGCTGCTTGTACTGTTACACACAGCAAATGGAGAGCTCAAGACTTCCACCGTCTTGACAACCACTTTCCTTCCCTCCAACGGCGTCCACCGTCTTGACCATTTTCCTTCCCTCCAACGGCGTCCACCGTCTTGACAACCATTTTCCTTCCCTCCAACGGCGTCCACCGTCTTGACAACCATTTTCTCTTTCTCCAACGGTGTTAACTTTCAAAGTCAGTTGCTTGTAAATAAAGCTTTTAATAAATTACAAGTGTGTAATAGGTCCTTGTCTGTCTTCTTCCTAGCTACTTAATGCACTGTTGCATAGCAACAACTTGGTTTTCTGATGCATCTTTGTTGGAAGTCTGAGAGTCTGAAATCTGCACTGGCTTGGGTGAGTGTGGGGATTCTTCTGGTACCACGCATGCAAATATCCATTGTAGAAATCAGTAGCTGTCAGTGTTTTCTTAAGCATTACTGATCGAACACCAATCCAGCCATCCTAAAGGACAAAGGACAGACAGTGACTAGACAATGAAATAAACTGTACTTTACAAAATGTGCCAGGCATGGTGCCATAGCCTTTAATCCCAGCACTGGGGAGACAGGTAGGCCAGGAGATCTCTGAGTTCGAGGCCAGCCAGGGCTACATAGTGAGACCTCATCTTAAAACAAAACAACCCCCCCAAAATGTAATGCTTTCACTAAACGCACAGAACTTTGTGCTAAATGACACGTAATGCCTTGTCTCTAAAGTTCTTCACAAAGGAAGAATAACAACTGCCCTGACCTATTTCAACATAGGATAGAATAACAAGTTCTATTTGCAAAGTGCTTTAGTTTTCTGAGTAGGTCCACATATCTTACTGTGAATAGTTATCAAATCATAGCAAATCAAACCCGAGAGTTGGCTCAACAGTTAAGAGTGTGCACTGCTCTTCCAGAGGACCAAGTCTGATTCTCAGCACCCATTATCAGGTAGCTCACTGCCTGTAATTGCCTGTAACTCCAGCTCTAGGGGCGGGGTGTGTGTGGGGGTGGGGGGTGGCGGCTCGTGAAATTTAACACCTCTGGCCTCTGTGGGCACCTGCATTCACAAGCACTCAGAATCTTATAAAGAAAACTAATGCCTGCAGCTGGTGGGTGATTTGTCCAAGGTAACACAATGGTAACAGCCAAATTTACATGTTCCCCAGTCACAGCTGCTCCTGTGAGAGGCAAGTCTGTACACAGAAGATGCATATACACAGAATCAGATCAAGGGAGGTCACGTGATGTGCTTCAGAATCAATCGAGAGCTGAGCAGTGGCCGAGGGGCTCTGCACCTATCACCTGTGTTGGTAGATCAGTCTATCACACACTTTAAAACATGCTTTGTGAGTATGCAGAATCTAATATAACTACCGCAAGAGAGAAAATACTCAGGAAACGGAAGAAATGTGGAACACCTCTCAGAAACATGCCACAGCTTTGTCAAACAATGGTCCCAGTCATTAAAGAAATCCACTAGAGCAGCCAGGTGTGACAGTGCACGCCTTTAGTCCCAGCACTGGAGGCAGGGGCAGGCGGATCTCTGAGGTTGGGGCCAGCCTGGTCTACAGAGTGAGTTCCAGGACAGCCAGAGCTACACGGAGAAACCCTGTCCTGAAAACCAAACAAAAAAATCAAATAAAAACCCACTAGGTAGCCCAGGATGACCTGGGACTCACTATGTTTCTCAGGTAATCCTCCTGCCTCAGCTTCCAGAGTGCTAGCTACACCATGTTCTCAGTCACTTTAAACTTTTTTTTTTTTTTTGGTTTTTCGAGACAGGGTTTCTCTGTGTAGCTTTGCGCCTTTCCTGGAACTCGCTTTGGAGACCAGGCTGGCCTCGAACTCACAGAGATCTGCCTGGCTCTGCCTCCCGAGTGCTGGGATTAAAGGCGTGCGCCACCACCGCCCGGCTCACTTTAAACTTTTGAAAGAAGTATTATTATTACTGGGTATGAGTGCACGATGGGGGGGACACATGCAGAGGTCACAGGTCAACTCTGCTCTCTCCCTCTGTGAGACGTATGAGGATTGAACTTAGGTCATCAGGCTCATGTGTCAAGAGCCTTTACCTGCTGAGCCATCTTGACAGGCCTCTCCAGCCACTTTAGATCATTCAAAACCTCAGGCGAAGGAAAAGGCTCGGTGGATAAAGCATCTGCCATGCAAACATGAGGACCGAAGTTTCGGTCCCCAGAACATACATAACAGCTGTGGCGGCGGCGGCGGAGGGAGGGAGGCAGACAGGAGAATGGAAGGAAGCTCAGAGGCCAGCTACCCTGGCATCTGCAGTGGAGAACAGAGACTGTCTCAGGTAAGGGGGACAGCAAAAACGGACACCCACGGGTTTCCTGACTTTCATGTGTGCTGGGGCATGCAAGTATCTGCACCCATACCCTACACACATACACTTTTTTTTTTTCCCCACTGAGACAGGGTTTCTCTGTATAACAGCTCTAGGGGTCCTGGAACTCACTCTGTAGACCAGGCTGACCTCAAACTCAAAGAGATCTGCCTGCCTCTGCCTCCCAAGTGCTGGGATTAAAGGTGTGCCACCACCTCCTAGCTTACACAAATATTTTTTTAAATTATTTTTAAAATTCCCTCTGGATATATGAGACAGATCAGTGAATAGAGGTGTTGGCTGCCAAGGCAGTTCATTTCTGGGATGCACACAGTGCAAAGAGAGAACCAATACCTAAAAGCAGTCCTCTAAGTACATCTGTGGGCTATTTTCTTGGTTGTTAATTGACGTTGGAGGGCTCACCCACTGTGGGCAGTACATCCCCAACCAAGCAGGCTTTGGTTGTATAAGGAAGGGAGCTAAGAGGCTGGGGAGTTCTGAGAGGAGATTGGGGTTCAGTCCCCAGCACCCACATGGCGGTTCACTACCATCTGTAACTCTAGTTGCAGGGGACCCAAAACCTTCTTCTGACCTGAGAGAGCATCAGGCATGCCCATGCAGGCGAAAGACTCATACATGTAAAATAGGAAGAAAGGAAGGAAGGGAGGGAAGGAAGGAGGAAACGGAGAGAAGGGAGGGAGGGGGGGAAGGAAGGAAGGAAGGAAGGGAGGGAGGGAAGGAGGAAACGGAGAGAAGGGAGGGAGTGGGGGAAGGAAGGAAGGAAGGAAGGAAGGAAGGAAGGAAGGAAGGAAGGGAGGGAGGGAAGGAGGAAACGGAGAGAAGGGAGGGAGGGGGGGAAGGAAGGAAGGAAGGAAGGAAGGAAGGAAGGAAGGAAGGAGGCAGGTAGCCGAGCATGAGAGAGAACAAGTCAGTAAGCAAGCAGCACTCCTCCACGGTCTCTGCCTCAGTTCCTGCCTCCAGCATCCTGCCTGGAGCGCCTGCTCCTATTTCCCTCAGTGACAGACGGCGATCTGGAAATGCAAGATGAAACACAGCCTTTCCTCCACAGCTGCTCTTTGGTCATGGTGCTTCCTCACGGCAACAGAACACGAGGAGGACCACGCTCTTGCTAACTCTGTCAAGGTTAAAGTGGGACTCATGCTGTGCAGTCATTCAAGCAGATGCTCTGATGACTGATATCAGATATCAGAGCTTATTAATCAAGTTAATTACTAAAAATCACTCTTTCAGAAATCTACCATTATGGGTAGCAATAATAAAATGTAATCAACTTTCAAAAATTATGCTGGAGATTCCACTTTTCTTAAGAAAATTGTCTATTAGCTTAATCTGAGAAGCCATAAAGTAAAATCTTAATGAAAATGGTGTCCTTTTTTAAAAAAATTTATTTATTATGTATATATGTCTGTAGGCCAGAAGAGAACACCAGATTTCTTTACAGATGGTTGTGAGTCACCATGTGGGTGCTGGAAATTGAACTCAGGACCTCTGGAAGAGCTGTCAGTGTTCTTAACCACTGAGCCATCTCTCCAGCCCCAAAATGGTATCTTAGTGTTCTATTGCTGTGAGGAGACACTATGACCAATGCAACTCTTAAAGCATTTAATTTAATGCTTGGTACTGGAGAAGTAGCTGATTCGCAACCAGAGAGAGACTCTGGGCCTGACACAGGCTTTTGAAACCTCAAAGCCCATCCCCATGACATACTTCCTCCAACAGGGCCACCCTCCTAATCCTATAGAAGAGTTCCAAGCATTCAAATATATAAGCTCATGAGGGCCATTCTCATTCCAACCACCACAAATGGTAAATGGAAAGCCTGGTATTTCCAATTGTACAGACCTGCAATTCCAACACTCAGAAGGCCGAGGCAGGAGGGTCAGTTTTAGACCAACCTGGGCTACACAGTGGAGTTCAAGGCTGGCCTAGGCTACTTAGTGAGACCTCATCTAAAAAGAAAAGGAAAAAGAAATACAAACTGCAGATTCAGTAAAACACCGACAGTATCCTGAGGCTGAAGTCACATACCTTGCAGTGAACCAGCAGCATCTGTGACTGTCTGTGATATACCACCGACCCTGGAGCCACAGCTTGTCCTGTTAATTTGGGATCTAACGGGGAGCGGGGAGAGGGGGGCAAGAGAAAGAGGGAAATAAATCACGGCACTTCTTAAACATCAAAAACATCTTCGTGGTTGGATATAACAGGTATGGCACTTGCAAGACCCTGGGCTCCATCTCCATCACGGACAACATTTTAAAAATGAACAAAAAAGAATCTTTACAGGTAGAACTAATGATGGGACGGACACACTTACTGAGGCCCCAACTCTGCAAAGCAAAACCTCCTGGAGCCAGGTGACCTGGCTACAGTATGGACCCAAAGGAAGTGCTCCACACAGGAGAGGCTCCAGTCCTCTGCTCCATCTCCCAGGGATCCCCTTCAGTGCTCAATCTGTCAGTTTAGTACTGTCATTTTGAGATTAACTGCCCAGCAGCGGAGTAACTCACAAGATGTTTCAGACTTACTCTGGTCCTTCCATTCCCCACAAGTGGGGACCTCCCACTGCCACTGGACTAGAATAGTGCCCCCTGCAGCCCACATTCCAGTTTATCTCATCCAGAGGATGCTGAGGGACCTCAGAAGGAACTGTAGGGTGAAATGCTGTCCTCTCTGTGCTCTGTCCATACATTTTCATTACAGTATTCACCAGCATGAAATCAACTGAGTCATTCCACAGCCCTCCAACCCTAATACAAGAGGACATAGAGCTAAAAGTAGGAGAGCAACGCTGCCGGCCAACTTCCTGGGTTCGTGTGATGACTGCATGAAAAAACACACAGGAATGGACGCTGCAAAGGTAAAGACTGTAAGGTGTTACCATTACTG